ACGTCAAGATAGGTAGGTATCTGTGTCAGTGAGGACCGATACTGAGGTAAATATCTGTGTCAGTGAGGACTGATACTGAGGTACATGTCACGTCAAGATAGGTATCTGGGTCAGGTAGGACAGATACAGAGGTAGATGTTACGTCAAGATAGGTATTTGTGTCAGTGAGGACCGATACTGAGGTAGATGTCACGTCAAGATAGGTAGGTATCTGTGTCAGTGAGGACCGATACTGAGGTAGATGTTACGTCAAGATAGGTATCTGCCAGTGAGGACCGATACCGAGGTACATGTCACGTCAAGATAGGTATCTGTGTCAATGAGGACTGATACTGAGGTAGATGTTACGTCAAGATAGGTATCTGTGTCAGTGAGGACTGATACTGAAGTAGATGTCACGTCAAGATAGGTATCAGTGTCAGTGAAGACCGATACTGAAGTAGATGTCACGTCAAGATAGGTATCTGTGTCAGTGAGGACCGATACCGAGGTAGATATCGCGTCAAGATAGGTATCTGTGTCAATGAGGACCGATACTGAGGGAGATGTCACGTCAAGATAGGTAGGTATCTATGTGAGTGAGGATCGATGCTGATTTAGATGTTACGTCATCATGAGTATGTGTGTCAGTGAGGATCGATACTGAGGTAGATGTTACGTCAAGATAGGTATCTGCCAGTGAGGACCGATACCGAGGTAGATGTCACGTCAAGATAGGTATCTGTGTCAGTGAGGACCGATACTGAAGTAGATGTCACGTCAAGATAGGTATCTGTGTCAGTGAGGACCGATACCGAGGTAGATGTCACGTCAAGATAGGTGTCTGTGTCAGTGAGGACCGATACCGAGGTAGATGTCAAGTGAAGATGTCTGTCTTTGTCAAGGTGGACTGATACTGAGGTTGATGTGACCTCATTCTGATTATCCTGGTCGGTGTGGACTGTTAGTGATGTAGGTATCACGTGAAGTTGATTATCTGGGTCGGTGTGGACGGTTACCAAGGTCAATGTCACTTCAAGATAATTATCCGGGTAGGTGTGGACTGTTACTAAGGTAGATATCACGTGAAGATGAATGTCTTTGTCAGTGTGGACTCATACTGAGGTTAATGTGACGTCATCATGATTATCTGTGTCGGTGTGGACGGTTATAACCAAGGTCAATGTCACTTTAAGATGAGTATCTGGGTCAGTGTGTACTGATACTAAAGGAGATGTCACCTCAAGATAAGTATCTGGATCAGTGTGGATTGTAACCGAGGTAGTTGCCTCTTCAAGATGGGTATCTGGGTCACTGTGGACAGTTATTGATCTAGATGTCACTTCATGATGGGGCGGTGTTGTAGCCTAGTGGTAAAAGCTTTCGCTTGTCATGCTGAACACCCATGTTCGATTCCCAACATGGGTACAATGTGTGAAGCACAGTGTGGTGTCCACGCTGAGATATTGCTGGAATATTGCTGAAAGCGGCCTAAAACTAAACTCACTTCAAGATGAGTGTTTTACGGTTATCGCTGTAGATTTTTTTGTGTCAGTGTGTTTTGCAGCCAAGGTAGACGTCACTACATGATCAGTATCTGGGTCGGGGTGTAATGTAGAGGTAGTCAGGTAGACCTGACTTGTTACGTATCAACTGAAAACAAAATGTTAACCAGAAATCTGCACATAATGGAATTTGGTATCAAATCAAGAAACAACAATTTCTAAAATTAAGTGAGTGAGTGAGTGAGTTTAGTTTTACGTCGCACACAGCAACATTCCAGCGATATGGCGGCGGTCTGTAAATAATCGAGTCTGGACAAGACAATCCAGGGATCAACAGCATGAACATCGATTTACGCAATTAGGACACGATGACATGTGTCAACCCAGTCAGCGAGCTTGACTACCTGATCCCGTTAGTCGCCTTTTACGACAAGCATGGGTTGCTGAAGATCAATTCTAACCCGGACCTTCAAGGGTAATAAAATTAAATAACTTTACAAGTCAACAGAATTCACTTCAACAAAATATCAGTGACAGTTCAAAATTGAGTGACAGTAAAAATCACTGGCAGTGCATGTGCATTGACAATAAAATATAGAAGAGGGAAACAAAGTTGTCTTGCACTTTAGGCCTCAGGCCCTCTTACAAATAAACAAAATTGAGAGAAAAGTACACCATCGGATGCTACATGCAGTATTGGTCATGAAAGAAGAGAATGCAATTTCTGGTGGTTTACTGACGCATATACGGAATTCTCAGGTTATTAAGTAATTAAATATAAAAGCAGTGATCATGGAAGTAAAAGCGATGATAACCATTTCACCAAGCTGCAACTGTGCTTCGAAAATAGGCCCTGGTTTAGAAACTAGGGTCAAACGAGGTCCTTACATAAATGCTGATCATCATGAAACGTCGGTGGTAATACCGAGTTGACTGAAACACACGCGCACGCAAATGTATGCCAACCGTCTATGGTTAGATTTGTGGCACTACTATCGATGGCGTAACAGGACAACAATTTAGCATGTAATGACATACTTTTTAATTGTACACTGTTGACAGCGTATTTCATTTACATTCATTTCTAGGCATAGTGAGGTTTAAGTTATGTCCAGTAGTAACATGAAATAGTAAGTGAGTGAGTGAGTGATATAATTTAGTTGCATAGACTGAGCAGACTAAAAGCAAAAACGTAGTTCATCCTACCCATCAATACAGACTGTCAAAGTCTACTATTCCTGTTTCAATAGCCAGCTGGCGTACATGCCTCTAAACCGAGACCGACAACAGCCATGTTTTCTCAACAGCCAGCAGCAGGCTATCTTGTATTTATGGATAACGACCACATTCGCTTCGCGCCATGATGCTCGGATTTGGAGACCTAACCTCGAGAGATCGGTTTCATGGCTCAAAGTATGCATGCCTTCAATTTCATCTTTTGGAAAAAGACCTCAAAATTCCGAGTCAAAAGGCAAAATTGGAACTATTTTCATGTCGACATTTTACAATATAACCGAAACTGAAATACACCTTGTTTTAACTGCGACTAAATAAGTTTCCATTTTTGCTGTGAAGCAGCATTAAATAAATGTCCATGCCGAGATGAAGTAGTAATGGAAACACATTGATATTTATAGGCAGATACAGATACCCATTTTAATTTTATACCCCCAGGAAACATTGCTCTTTTCTTGACAGAGTTACGGTCAAGCACGTCTTGCTTGACTGTGTTGAGTTTTCCAACACAAGGATAAACATTTCAAAATGAAAACAGTAAAGGATCTTTTAGCAATGTTGGTTATCCTTTAATATTATCCTTTTTAAAAGAAATTGAATTATTTGATGAATTTTGATGTAACTGTCTTCGTTTTATATATTGGTAGGATATGATTATGAACTGAGATTGTCAGTGGCTGTGCCCTTGATGGGGACTGAAGCATTGTAAACTTATTGTCCCCCGGAGAGGGTATATAAGACCATGTCTTTCAAAGTGTTCTTATAACTACCTGAATTTTAAAAGTGATGAATAATTGTTCAGTTTTAATCTCTGGCTAAACCTTCGACAACCGCCAGTAACTAGTGAAAGGTGTATCCTCCCAGGGAACCATGTAGGTAGCAGAGGTACCGTAAGTCCCCATGGTCCCCTGTATGGTGTCCTTAACTGTGTTGCTGGCGTCCTCTAGCCCCATTTGTATCATTTTTGTCAAATACACAGTTTTAATGTTCTATAACCAGTTTTAATGTTCTATAACCAGTTTTAATGTTCTATAACCAGTTTTAATGTTCTATAACCAGTTTTAATGTTCTATAACCAGTTTTAATGTTCTATAACCAGTTTTAATGTTCTATAACCAGTTTTAAAAACAAATATGTTATATATTGCTGGATGGGTTATTTTCTGTCCATCAATGACGGTTTTTAAAATTATCGTATAACACACACACACACACACACACACACACACACACACACAAACCCCATGACTTTTGCTTTGTCCAAATTAATATCTACACAATAATTAATACAGACTGGTATTCTTCTAACACATCTGTGCGCTCCTGGAGTCCCCATATACTATCACCAGCCAGCTTTAGACTCAATTTCCCCATAATATTCACACCAATACGTTAACCGTTCTGTTCTATATAGAAGCATACAGCTTACTCATGACACTAAGAACTGATATATCGCTGTGTGACGGACAATTCATGTCTCCTCACTTATGTACTGGAACAATAAGCAAGTCCAAGACACAAGCAAGTAAAAGTTTTACAAACATTTTTAAATAACACTGAATAACTGAATAAACATATCATTAGCATTTTTTGAAAAATTCTGAACTGAGGAAGCCATTACCTGAAGAGATACAATTTAAAGCTAACATTGCACACTACACTTATTTCTGTGTGGAAGGCATGTCCAAAATAGGACAAAACATGTACTGATTTTGTTTGTTTGTTGTTTAACGACGCGCACAGCATTATTCCAGCTATATGGCGGCACCAGTCAATCCAATGATCAACGGCATGAGCATCGATCTAAGCAATTAGTTACGATGATATGTCTCAACCATGTCAGCGAATCTGACCACCCGATCCCGTTGGTTGTCTCTCACGACAAGTATGGGTAGCTGAAGACCAAATCTGACCCGGATCTTCATAAGTGATATCTTTATTATCCATTTCAGCCATGTCTGAAATACTGGCCTCAATATCAGCCGTCAAGAGTATAAAAACATCTTCAAAATGATCCTATCATTGTCCTAATCATATATTTGGAAGACAAGTAGCCACATCACCAGATACACAAAAGCATTTGATATTTGGATGATTGGATACAATCCTGACACATATATATAGTCATCATATTTATATTGTTCTGACTCAGTAAGCTTGTATATGTATTTTCAGAATCCAGTCACACACATACGTTGCCACATAGACACTGATTAACTGGCTTCTGTGTAACCAAGAAGAAGTTACGTTGTTCTTTCAACAATATAAAATGAGAACTTACCATGAGTTGGAAGACAGAGCTGCCAAAGGTATAGAACAATACAGAGAAACACACGCGTGTAGTCCATTGTTACTTCACGTGTCCGTGCTTCCCACCAACTGACAACATCACATCAGGGAAGTAAGTATTACATACACTTGTGACATGAGTAACTTGGCTATATCTATGTCTCCAACACTGTCAACAGTGAAGCGTATTGGATAATTAGCGTTTGATTAGTTTACATACATACATTCAGATACACTGGACTTGGAATGGTTGGAAAATACCTCCGAAACGACGTGTTATTCACAATAAAGAAGTTGACATCCATAAATCTTACTTTTCTTATGTATACCACTTCTAAATGCCCTTCAGAAATTATAGCTTTTTGATTAGTTTATTTACATTTAGATCCATTGGAAATGGAATGTTTGAAGCTCCTTAAGCATAACTATACAGTGCATATAAGGAATAGTAATGCCCCGTGTATTTCGACATTTAAAATTATTTGAGGAAAATTATCTTGGTAATAATCGTACATTCGCTTATGTAATGTACAATGTTTCCATGTGACTGCTGTATGTTTGGTCAAAGGGAGGTAATTCGCACTGGGATGCAATCCCTTGTACTTACTATCAAACACAATTAAAACTATTGAAAAGAAACGGTTGTTCACCGATGTTAAGAAAGCATATCTGTGTATCATGGTGATAAGAAACTTTTAATGTATTATGTAATCTCGTATTGTTTGTCATCAAGCAATCAATTTGGCTCCATGATGGGAGTAAGGAGTACCAGTGTATTAGACACGAAGCACTCTACGGATATAGCGTTTGAAATCATTGAATGACATTATACAATTTACGCAACTATGGTTAATTACAAATGACAGAACAGAACAATTTATCCTCGAAAACCCACCCCAATCAAACCGACTTGGCAATTGCTACAGGTGGAAAAGACCTACACATCCCATTACCCGATTCATACATGTTACGCTTACTGCCATTTTGTCTTGTAGGACCAATGAAAATTTTGTTTTGTCGGATAATCGAAGCTACACATTATCATTCCACTATACATTAACGTATAATGATACATCATGTCGAGTTTGCCATAACACATATTAAGGATATGGGAAATTATTCACAGGCTTGGTGCATTTGCTAATAATATTTCTTTTATCACAATCATTAGTGAGACGTATTTTTGTTCAAATTTCTACCACGGATACAAATATAGGTTCTGGTAATTTTAGAGTTTTAGACTGACTGACTGACTGACGCCGCTTTTAGCAATATTCCAGCAATATCACGGCGGGGTACACCAGAAATGGGCTTAACACATTGTACCCATGTGGGGAATCGAACCCGGGTCTTCGGCGTAACGAGCCAACGCTTTAACCACTAGGCTACCCCATCGCCCCTTAGAGTTTTAGAAGGAATATAAATATACGAAAGAAAGAATAGAAACTCATGGAGAGCAACGTCTTCGTGGTGAGTGATGGGTAACGGTAAATTCTCTTCCACCCCAGGGACCCCGGGTAGAATCTGTCCTGAGCACTTCATTGCTGGTGGTAAAGGGCGACTGAATTGGGCGACACTGTGTGTTTGCGATCATGTTGGTGGTTGACAGACGTATGGTGGCTGAGGGCACAGGGGCCGGGAACCGATTTCATTTTGACCAACACACCACTTCGACCCTGGCTTTAACTGGGCAGGTGGTGATATGGGCCCAGTTCTATCAATCGGCTGCTCATATCATGCTCTGTGCCACTATAAAATGTTGCACAAAATTATTTCAAAAATGCTTTTTCAGTCTTATCCATATGATGTTTAACTTCAAATCTTAAATGCATGCTCTCAGCTTTGTTGTATGCCCGCCCAGTGTCGTGTGGCTAGAAAGTGGTGGCGCAAAGGCCAACCTCGTGGCAAAATTACTATCATTTCAGTTCCTTTCTGTTGGAGTATATTATCTGAACATCCTTAGTGCTGCACGTCTGTGATCTACTTGTTTTATCATTGTCTTTATGATACTCCATCGTAGGTGCGTAGCTCAGATAATGAGACATACTCAAAGTGGTATTGTTTGTGTTTCTGTTCTCAGTAAAAGCATACTCATAGGAAGACACATTCATGATTTAACAATTTGGAAACCTAATTATAAATCTCGGTTGTTTGTAGGGTACACTCTTACGATGTTTAACAATACATTTACACATCCCTTCGAACAAGATCTACTCGGATGTTGAGAGTGGATGAATCATAGCTGTAATAATCTGATGACATCACTTCAGTTGCCTTATATTTAACTTAGGTCAGAAATAAATGTAATAAATATAGATGTCAGCTGATAGGAAACAGGGACGCACCAAATGATGCGGGCCTCATACGTTTGCTAATTTGGAAAAAAACCCACCACAGTCAAGGTTCGGGGAGAGGAAGGACAGTGAGTGAGTGAAAAGAGAAAGAAAGAGAAATAACAAAGACAAGTGTAAGGCAACGTATATCCATCTGTTGTTTCACACTGAATGTCCAACATGGTCGGTGTTTCCAGTGCTTTGAACAATTTCCTTATGTAGTGATCGCCCCCGAACACTGTGTCAGGGGCCAGTGTTAAGGAAATATAAAGCTCAGTCGAAACCGTCTCATTAATACATTGACATGTGGTAGTGAAAGACAGTGAGTGAGTGAGTGAGTGAGTCTTCACAGCAATGGTTTCATCATTGTTACTGGACTGATAACTGTGTATAAGAGTGTATGATGACTGTCCTGTGTAAGACATTCCGGTTATGGCCTTTTATTCACCACTCAGACATTCCCCTTTGTGTCATCTTCATAGGGAATTAAGAAACACTGAAAGAGGATTTATAAACCCACTTTTTCACGTTTTAAGGGTGATCCAGTCCTCACGATGGAATTCAATTATTTATAACCATTGCAGCAAATTCCTTTGAAAATAAACAGTGGCATGCTGTAATTCATTATCTCAAAGGGTGCATCACTCATATGTATGAGTAGATTAGTTATATGAAAAATGGACAACAGCTTCATGAATGTTTAATATACCAAATCAATTCATTACATACATATTGTTACTTACGTACAGTAGTTACTATGATCAAAGTACCATATTACTTCAGCGAATAAATCAATATACATGTTGCTTTATTACGGACACTGACTGTAACATATATCATAAAAATGTGTTTATGAATGTAATTGTGTCAAATAAATTTGATATTTCAGGTGGCCACTAAGTGATGAGTGTTTCCTGCACCGCCGGTGTTGTTACAAACACGTGCAAAGTCAAGTCAGTTGTTCACAAGAAATATACAACGCTCTAACACGCTCTGTATTATCATTGAACTGTGAATATAAAACATGCGGATGGTACTTGTACAAGGAAGAAGTCTTATGATTATTGACATGATTATTGTCGATGCTACAGGACTTACCAACGCTCAACACCAGCAAGCATCTAAAACAAACGCCTCGATGTTAAGCACTGGTATGTTACTGATAAGGTAACGTCTAAACATTGAAATGGTTAGTTACTGGTCCGAGGCTTGGATCACCGAGGACTAACCATTTGAATATTTCAGACACTATGGCCTGTTAACCTACTTAAAGCATGACCAACATTCAAAGATTATTAGCACCTAAGATTGCCCCCTTTGCCTTTTCTACGTTCTTGTATACCCCGTCAACGCTGGTTATGACATGCACGTCTAGGTGCAAATAAACATTCCATACTGGTCAACAGGAGCACATTTATCAATCATATAAGTTCTTGTAGATTTATAATAATAATTATCTGTATTTAGTGAATTAAGGCCGAGGGGTTATCCTTTCACCACCTTGATCACAATCACGCACCATATGTTATGAGATACGACTATTTTCAGGGATATAAATTTATAACCTACACCAAGCTCGATCGTTCATCCAGTATCATTTAAGTCCCGTGCGATCTGTACACCATCCAGGTAACCACATGCAAAGCAATGTTCAGTCCCGTTACCCTTGTCTCGGCTCTACCGCGCTGGCACACCCTGTCAATACTAAATATCTGTGTTAAAGTACATGTACTCTACACTAGCTAACTGATGCGGGGCTACTAAGATAGCATTTAGAACACTAAACTAATTATTTAGCTATACTAAACAAATAATTCAGCTGATACTTAATCCCATTCTTAGTTTCACAGCAGCGGTGCCACCAGTGTGCCCTGGTTGTGCGTTGACATCTGGTCTGTTGAGCTACTACACTACTACTCCATGCAGGTCTCTCAACGTCCCGCTCCCCACCCCACTAACCACCCACTAACCACCCACACATCACACACACCCCAACCTTCGTGTCATGTCCAGTTTGGAAGCCTTGCACAGAAACTTGCTACACATACAAAACCTCAAACACGACTGCTATATAAATAACCATGAATTTTGGCAGTCAGACGTATCGTGAACCTCTTATTTTGCAGAATATTAGGATATTGGGACTGATATATGGTACAAGAAAGCTGGTGGATGAGTCCAAGGTTAAAATTCGGATTCTACATAGTCAAAAATGTACGATTTGACATCAAGATAGTTCAATCGAACAGGTCTCAGCAATTTTATTGCGAAATGCAACATTTCTTTATATTCAATGGCGGCCGTCTTGAAAAATGGTGGCCATCTTGAAGTTTAAGTGGGCTAACGGGTTTTATCAAAACAGCAATCCCACAGAAGTATGTGTGCCAATTTTGGTGCTTGTTTCCGGAAGTGAAGGATTCTCTTGAAATTTTCAGTTATCTGCTCCACTAATAAAAGATTGGCTCTGCAAATGTTCAATACACATGCAGATTATGTGGCATGATAATATCGCCTTGGTTATTATTTGTGGTGCTTTTCTTTCCAAATGATAGTGTATTCTCATTTGGGAAGTGTTAAGGTACAACTACATCAAAGCTTTAGGCGCCATGGCATCCTGCGGCGTCTGTAGCGGCAAAGCAGCTGCAGGGCATGTGCTTGAGAAGAAGCATTGAGTTTTATTGGGCTTTGAGTGTCCACCAATTTAAAGGTATTTCTAAACCAACTGGAAAACAGTCCAACTGTTCACAGCCAGAAAGACAGCAGGATTGCCTCTGAAGATTGCTCTGGTCTCTGATTATGGTTTATGCTCTGCTAATGATCTGTGGCTCTCATCATTATTCAGGACTGTTTCCCGGTTGTTGTTCGACGCTAGGAGGTCCCTGTGACCCTTGTTCTGAAGGGGGTTTGTTATTAGAGGTCCCTTCCGTCTTTCTTGACCTTGCACACAATGACTCAAGTGATTTTCTGAAAGGATAAACAGATGCTGTTGCAGTTTATGGCTATCTACTTGTAAGGGGAACAGGTGATGTAGGTTCCACTACACTAAATCAGAATCACATGTTCAATGAGCGAGTAGTGTATGTAAACATCTGAAGTAATAGCGACATGTGACAGCTGTGATTGGATGAAATAGTGTAAGAATTTTTATGTTTTTTAAAAGCACAATGTCATCCATCCAGTAATTTAAACTGACCGTGATTTTAAGTATTCAGTGCTGTCATTTTTATCAGCATGATTTGTGCTTATTGTGTGTACAGATATTTTCAAATAGGTGACATTTTGGGCGGAACAGGGGTTGGTGTGTTCCGCTTCCTGTGCTCGGAAAATTGGCAGGCTAAGTTAGCCGGAATTAGTCTTTTTATTGTAGTTTAAAGGCCAGACTGATGTGTACATGGAATGGATGTTGACAGCCTGGGTGATTTTAAAAAAAATATAACTTTACTGACTGACTGAGTTTGGTTTTACGCCGGTTTTAGCAATATTCCAGCAACATCACGGCGGGGGACACCAGAATGGGCTTCACACATTGTACCCATGTGGGGAATCGAATCCGGGTCTTCTGCGTGACGAGCCAACGCTATAACCATTAGGCTACCCCACCGCCCATAACTTTACTATAGAAGTCTGTGGGAAAACATTTGGTGTTGTGTAACCTCTAGTCGTGTTAGGCACCGCAATGCGATGTGCAGAGTTGCGTCCCTTGGGCACGCCAGTTCGCCCTGGTAATGTTTCGAGGATCGTACTGTTGTCTTGTAAACGTGGTAAACGTTTCAGATTGTTGGTTGGACTCAAGTGGTAAACATCTTCTGTCCTTCCACTTGATGCTGACACGTTGGGATATCTGAGATACTGTTCAAGCGGGGTAACTCACTCACTCACGCAGGTGTTACAATACCCGGAGTGGTTCTGAAGTGCAGGTTAGATAATGAATGTGACTGAATCAATTACTGGTGTTCCGGGTTGTGCATACGTCTACTGTTATATGCAGTGTCTGTACATACTGGCAGTATATATCTTCTACTCTACATAATGTATATGGTTTTTCATTCCGTACTCTCACCTGTTCAGACAAGCCAGAAAACCGAAAGTCAGAACCACGATTATTATGATCCAGACCCAGAAGAATAGTTTTGGAGAGGCTATATCTTGCTCTTCATGTTCCACGAGCTCGGTGTCTGTGAAAAAGGAGTCACTTGCACAAATAAGTAATTATTATCAACAACATTACTTGGATCTCACTCATCATTACAACTTGAAAAAATATGGCTTTGTCTACAACACACTACTTAAAATGTAGAGCTGGTGTTATTAGATTATAGACGGACGACTGGCTAGATATACTGGACATGATTGTGTTGACATGGGTCATATTACGGGACACAGAAATGAAGCTTTCTTGTTTCCCATCTCCGTGTGATCTAAAATGTCATTTTGATACTAGAATGATGGCATTCATAGAATGATGCATTCATACTTAGCGGAAATTTTCCAGACCAAACTATTTACATGCTGCTGTCCCCACGAAGGTCCGGGTTAGAATATTGGTCTTCAGCAACCCACGCTTGTCGTAAGAGGCGACTAACGGGATCGGGTGGTCAGGCGTACTGACTTGGTTGACACATGTCATCGGTTCCCAGTTACACAGAGCAATGTTCATGCTGTAGATCACTGTATAGTCTGGTCCAGACTTGATTATTTACAGACCGCCGCCATATAGCTGGAATATTGCTGAGTGTGGTGTCAAACTAAACTCACTCACTCACTCATGCTACCGTCATATAGTTTGAATACTAATGACTGCGGTGTTAACAAATAAACACGCACGAAAACTAACTAACCTACGACTGGTAGCAATACACATATTTCCCAGTTGTAACATGTAGAAGCGAAGCGAGTATTGTGACGATCAGTATTGTGACGATCAGTATTGTGACAGATTTTATGGTTATTCTAGCAGAGTCAACAAGAACTGGCTAACCACTTATACCAATATGGGAAATCGAGCGATGATCTTTACTTATGATGTAAATGTTTTAACATATAGATACACATGCCACACATCAAGTAAGAATCCGGACACCGGGGTTCTCTCTCCGACTTTATGTATGTCTCAAGCTTCACTTATATATAACCGGGACATAAAATTATAAAATTGTTTAATATTTAAATTAAAAATGACCGATGATTAAACTCTCAACATGACGTCATTATTTCGTAAATCATGCAAGGAGTAACTTTCAGCTTACGCTCTTCACAACGGGGACCTGTCCATCCATCTTTACACTGGCTGTTGCAGTCACCGGTGACGTGGTGGCAGGACCCTGGTGTACATCCTCTACTACACAACCCTGAACAGTTTCGTCCGTATGTTCCGTCAATACAAACTGCAGATGCAATGTGGTACATTGTAATAACTGCATCTGCTATATCATTATATACTACATATGGAAATGCTGCACACAACTCTCATTTCAGATATAGAATACCCATTGTAAACGATTGAAAAACACCAGAGGAAATAAAACGCTAAAACAAGTAGCAGACTACGGTGTGAACCGAACACCGGGCACCATACAGACTGATAATAAAACCTCACTGTGTTCACATCTCCGACCTGTCCATCCGTCTTTACATTGATAGTTGCAGTCACCAGTGATGTGGTGGCAGGTCCCCGGTTTACATCCTGGGTTACACTTCTGTGCACAGTCTCGTCCAAATGTTCCCGCATCACAGACTGAAAATGATGTACAGACATAGAGACAAACTGCCACATAACGCTGTTTAAGTGCCGGCAAACCATGACAATAAGAAGACGGAGGTCCATATAAGAGTAATCAAATAAATGCAATTGGAAAAGAAATACTAAAAAGCTTAACCCAGTTTACAATGAATATATGTATGGAAGGTATTTTATCTCTCATACATTTGAATTAAATCACTGCAACCATGTCATTGTCATTGTGGAACCATTTCGTTAATAGCGCTGACCGTGTCCATTTTTTTTGCCTCTATCCACTGAGTAACACCTGTTGAGATATTACCGTCTAACTGAAATATTTAAATTGACGCTGGTACCCACCGGATTGATGACGAAAACGTACTTTGTTTACATCGCTGCCCATTCCATCCGTCCTGGCACTGGTTGTCACAGTCACCTGTGACGTGGTGGCAAGACTCTGGTAAACACGTGGTACACGTCTGTGTACACTCATGTCCATATGTTCCGTCATTACAAGCTGCAGATGAAGCAATGAAACCCTGTGAAACAAGTGTTCACTGTAAGCAGTACAAGCTGCATCAGAAGCAATGGCACTCTGTGATACAAGTGTTCACTGTAAGCAGTGCAAGGTGCATCAGAAGCCATGGCACTCTGTGATACAAGTGTTCACTGTAAGCAGTGCAAGGTGCATCAGAAGCAATGGCACTCTGTGATACAAGTGTTCACTGTAAGCAGTGCAAGGTGCATCAGAAGCCATGGCACTCTGTGAAACAAGTGTTCACTGTAAGCAGTACAAGCTGCATCAGAAGCCATGGCACTCTGTGATACAAGTGTTCACTGTAAGCAGTGCAAGGTGCATCAGAAGCCATGGCACTCTGTGATACAAGTGTTCACTGTAAGCAGTACAAGCTGCATCAGAAGCCATGGCACTCTGTGAAACAAGTGTTCACTGTAAGCAGTGCAAGGTGCATCAGAAGCCATGGCACTCTGTGATAAACAAGTGTACAAGCTGTCAGAAGCCATGGCACTATTGCAAGTGTTTATAAAAATGCATCAGAAGCCTGCGGACAACTGCGGACAGCTCGTATATTGTGTGTCGGAGAAATGTTGTCAACGATTTCCCCATATATGTCTTCTGTTAAATGCCTAGGTCACTGGATGGTCTCTGCTGGATGTAAAGAATGTAGGAATCTGCAAACGATGCTATTGCAGCAGCAGAAACGTATTTTCGTCTCGCAAGATGGAAAATTGTTTATATAACAATATAGAGACTTCTTTAACTGAAGTATAGTACTATTTTGGGGGCAAGATAGTTTTTAAAAACTTAGGGGGATCCAAATTGTTTTGACATCCAACTTACCAGCTGACACGAAAAGGTCCAGGTATATCTATAAGCTGTTACCATACAATTCTTTAGATGTCAGCGCGATGTTATACCCGTCATCGGGCTTTATAATTAAACACACATTCACAGACGAGGAAGTGAACTTTACACCCATTGTATACATAAGAACTAGCATTCATCAGAGGAACTACCTTTGAACCTTTGTTTTTTCATTTAGGACTCATAGCAAAAAGTGGTCAAATAGAGATTAATGAGCTACTGTGACTACTGTAATGCTGTATTCTGTGTATCATTGCTGTCTGTACTTATCGAATTATTAGTGTTTAACCTTTTATGTACACTCGTGTGCCATGCTGGAAAACAGCATGTTCTCTCATTCTGGAACAGTTCGTGTTCTTGTAATTAGGTGGTTTCTGTGTGTGTAGCTATTAGTCAGAAATGTCAAAATCAATATCTTTATGTCACGAGTTGATTCATGTAACCAAAATTAAATAAAACAAGAATTACATAACACAACAATAATTATTCAAACACCACATGTATATCAGTTCCGTAATTTCAAGCTTAAATCTCAAACATGTCTGCTTTACACAATCTCCAAAATACACACACTATCTTGTTTTTAAAGCATTAAACCTGGCAATTTATATACAGCTGTAGGAAACAGTTCAAAATGCATTTGGGGATTTAGTTCAAACATGACGATTTTTGCATTTTCAAGGTTTGTAACAAATATCATATGTCCATTTATCTCATTTAATCTTTTAGACATGCGCAGAATATCACTATGAACAGTGTCTGCACATATAGTTTGTATGCTGTATATATTCAAGACAACTGACTCAAATTAACAGTACTCTGATGTTGACTAACGTGAGCAGCTATATGATACAAACACTGACAACGGTACGTTAAAACTTAACTCAGTGACACTGTACGACATACTTGATGTGCAGTTGGTTCCTGTCCAGCCAACCCTACATGTGCAGCTTCCATCAGTAGCGTTACAGATTCCTCCCTGACACCCAGCTGCACACCCCGTACAGTTTTGTCCGTCCATGTAAAAGCCGTCCTTGCATTCTGGAATGATATAGTAAAAGATAATTGCTTCAGTTCTATGGTAATGACAAAATCAGGTCTATATGAAGATACCATCCTCATCCTGACTTTCGCTAACACCCGGTGTCATCACTAATTGTTGTTGATGATGATGATTTTTACGCTCATGATAATTTTTACGACTCTTTCACCTTTTATGCCTTTGAAATCTGTTTTGATGTGCACTGAAGCTGTTATTCTCAGGCGTTAACGTTTAACAATTGTTCTGTTCTTGTGTGACTATGTATGATATTGTCGGGCGTACGGCATAGAATATATGTCAGTCTCGGACAGATCGTAAAGGTCTACTGCATATGGTTGTGTTGACAATGTTTGATTAGTTGTCAAAAAACGTCATGACTTTACATACCATTATGGATGAACAACTTCTTTATTACTACTCTAACTTTTTAATGAAAGAAGTTTACATACCATTGCAGTTACTTCCTGTCCAGCCATCTCGACAGCTACAGCTACCGTTGGCCACGTTGCATGTCTCCCTAACACATCCAGCCCCGCAGTCCACACAACTGTCTCCGTCCACGTAGAACCCGTCTCCGCACACTGGGGAACAAAGCGTTGTTGTGATCTAGGTGAGGAGACTCACGTTGGAGCACAGGAAACATTTTCTTTGACATACCTCATGTGGACATTTCGATATTTGACAAATGCCTCGTCAGCATAACATGCTTTCAAACATGCTTCTCTGATTCCTATGGTGTCCTATAAGTGCCATCGCGTGGCGCGTAAAAAAAGAACTACGTCGCCCACGACGTCGCATAAAAAATACTAAGTCGACGACGTCGCCCGTTATTATTGTAGTCAAAGTATATTTTACAAAGCGACGTCGCGCAAGACGTCGTCTTTTTTTACGCGCCACGCGATGGCAATTATAGGACACCATAGATTCCTGTTTGCTTCATCGTTATCCTGATTCGGAAACAAGGAAAGCTAACTCAGGAGGACATGTGGTGGTGTGTGGTTCTGTGCACTAAGCCCAGGTCCCACATCAGTTGAAGTTAAGCAACGTTGGTCATGGAGAGTCCTTGGATGGATGACCATATCTGGCAGATTGACTCCTGAGAAGTTTTAGGACTTCAGTCCTGCCCCACAACGAATCACATATGACACATGTGGTCTCACCTAGGCAAGTGAGTTTTTTAATAAATTGCCTCTGTCCACCAAGCAGTGAATGGGTACCCGGTGAGATAGGCCATATGGCTGTTAACCTTCTTGCTCCTCACACGCTGCTTGGGTTATCCGGGGTAATAATGTATTACCGCCTTGGAAACAGGTGCTTTATAAATAACCATTATTATCAATAATCATGAACATAACGTTGAAAACTTGGTTCTCATGACCATTATCACTCCGATGTTTGACATGTTGTCACACTTGTAACGTCAGAATGAATCATAACATACATGTGGAATAACGGTCGTCTGACTCGTTACTGATTACTCTTCTGAGGTTTTGATGTTTACATTTAGAATCCCTTAAAACAAATATGTCAGAAAATATCAATATTAGAACCTACACTCTTCACATCGCTGACCTATCCATCCGTCTTTACATTGGTTGTTGCAGTTACCGGTGATGTGGTGACAGGTCCCTGGTTTACATCCTCGGTTACACTTCTCAGTACAATCCTGTCCATAGGTACCCTCATCACAAGCTGCAGATGATAATGTGCATTTGTACATGTTAATGTTAATAAACGGCAAAATACATTCTAGATAGACTAATAAATTTGGCTTCAAAGGACTACACACAAAAACACACACTCACAAACATACACACCCACTCACACCCACCCCAAACCACCTCACTCACTAACCCACTCATCCACTCACCCACCCACACATCCACACACCCACTTACTCACTTACCACTCCACTCACACCACTGAACAACACCATTTAAAATCCAATTCCAAAACAACCATTGACATGAAATGTGACTCGGACTTCATGCACCCACTCGCATCCACTCACAAACATCCACACCCACTCACATCCATCCCCACCTCACTCACTCACTCACCTACCCACTCACTCACTCACACCACTGAACAACACCAGTTAAAATCAAATTCTAATACAACCATTAAGATGACATGTGACTCGGACTCCATGCACCACATGGAGTAATGGTAAATCCTCACTGTGTTCACAGGTGGGACCTGTCCATCCATCGTGACACTGGTTGTCACAGTCACCGGTGACGTGGTGGCAGGAACCTGGTTTACATCCTGTGCTACACATCCCTGTGCAGTCTTGTCCATACCTACCCTCATCACAAACTGCAGAGGAAAAATGTCACATCCCGTTGGAATTATCCTCGGTAATATTGTATTTGACCAATGTATAACATTTCATTATTGATATCATATTCATATATAATTGGTAGATTATGTTGTCAACAATAGCCAAATAGAACATGTGACGTAAACCCGACTGGCAAACCATTCACCAGAGTCCCTATACACAACGTGTTCAAGGCACAATATGGCTAATATTTTGCTGATGTACCTGAAAATATTACCTCACGCACCTAAACGATTCAGTGAACTGACGTCGAGTATAGCAGGTGTTTTGTGGCTTATATGGTTATATGACAATGCTAGGTTAAAACTTAACTCACTCACTCACTGACTCGCGTGCGACATACTTGATGTGCAGTTGGTTCCTGTCCAGCCAGCTTTACATGCGCAGCTTCCGTCAGTAGCGTTACAGATTCCTCCCTGACACCCAGCTGCACACCCGGTACAGTTTTGTCCGTCCATGTAAAAGCCGTCCTTGCATTCTGGAAGTAGGAAGACTGTTCCTGTGACCAGTTATAAGTTTTATCGACTTTATAAAGGTATAAAGTTATCTTGAACATAACAGGTAGAAACACTGACTACTTACAGTGAAGAGTTATGCATACAGATGGATACACTCATCGCATGCAGTGCACAGTAATACCAATAATAGATTGTAATACCAACTGCATTAAGGTATACCAACTGCAGCCCTGATTATCTGTAGCGTTATAACACTAATTGCACGGTAAGGCATATGGATTCCAACACTAATTGAATTCAGTACTCAGTGAGGCATACGGATTTACACAAATCAGGTATGCGGATTCTGCCATCCATAACATGTAGGATACTGTAAGCAACACGCATTGATTGAATGTAGCTTACAGTATACGGATTGTAACACTGATAAAGTGCAGGGCACAGTAAAGAATACAGATTATAACACTGATTATGTGTACCCCACAGTAAGGTATAAGTATTGCAACACGGGTCACATGACAAATATCCTAAGAATTTATAACTCATACAGAATGTACAAAATAACACGTTTGCAAATAAATATTACATTTCGACATAAATATGTAAATAAATGTAGACTTTACATACTGTGGCAGCCAGTTCCTGTCCAGCCAGCTCTACAGGTACAGTTGCCGTCTCCAGAGTCACACACGTCCCCCTCGCATCCACCACCACATTTCACACAACCGTGGTCGTTTCCGTAGAAGCCGTCCATGCATTCTTTAAACAAAGCCTTGTGTCGGATAACGACGGATAATCAGGTTGTTAAAATAAATAAAAGCGAAAAAACATGAACATAATCATAAGATAAAGTCACCTGTACAATTTCGATTATCACCACGCTCTCTTTAAACAAAGGCTTATGTTAACGACTAATAATCAAAGTATTAAGAAACAATCTTAAATGCAAGCGAACAGAAAAATGAACATAATCATGAGATAACGTCCACTGTACAATTTCGAATATAATCATGCTCTCTTTAGACTGACCAATCTTAGTTTACGTCATTTTTTATCATTTTAATATTTGTATATTTTCCTCGGACAAGTCTGCAAAACATATTCAGAAACACTGAGTACATTGCAGTAAGGAGGATGGTAGGGACATGACTGATGTCCCTTAAAACGATGAAATGGCGTTCTAGCTACACTGCTTTTATTGTATGTTTAGAGGGATTGTTAACAAATTTCTATTTCTTCGTATTGCAGTGTTAAGCTACCTTAACAGCACTATTTAACACATAATTTTCGAGAAAGAAACATTTGAAGTAAATCAAATCAAACTTTGATTTTTTTTTATTTTATGCTTTGGTCAATCGTACCTATCGTGCACCCATGTCCAGCCCAGCCAGGTGCACAGCTGCAGCGGCCGTCAGCAGCGTCACATTCTCCACCGTCACATCCGTCTCCACACTCTGTACATGCCTCTCCTTCCGTATAGAACCCAGGTGGACAGGCTGATACACAAAGACTCTGTTGAATTCCATTTTGCAAACTTGAAACCGCGGAATTTGAGATGCAATGTCGACTAAAGGATCCATTGAAAGAAATTAACTGGTGGATGATCAAATCAAACTTCCTATGCTGTCTGAGAATTATATCATGTTGATTGCCTTCGTCATTCTATAAAACTAGTGAATTGATATTAGATTGTTTGTTTGTCTGTTTAACGCTGCACCCAATATTCCAGCTACTAGTATATGGCTATCAATAATCGAATCTGGACCAGACAGTCCAAATATTACGACAAGCACGATATTGGAAAGGTTGAAAAGGGAATCCAATTGCTATTATACAGCTTATTTAGACAAAGGTGTTACAAAACCGGTGTGTAAAGGATGGAATGCAACGACGAATTGGTAGTAAACGTAGAACTAGTAAACCTTGGTTTGGCGCTGAATGTGAATTTAAAAAGAAAGTCAGGTGCAGGACTTTGAATAAATCCAAAAAAGATAAGGGACCCGTTTCCCTCCGCGAATACGTGCATGCTAGAAATAGTATGATGCTAATTGTCAAGTTAAAAAAGAACAACATCATGAACACAAACTTCGCTTGTTAGAAGAGTCACTTGAAAATCCTGAACGTTTTGTGGAAGTAATAAAAAAGTTTAAAATCCAACTTTATAGAAAATACTATTCCAAGTCATGAGTGGTACGATCACTTCAAAACTTTATTTAATGTTTCATACCCTGAGAAAGAATATATTTGTAACATGTTCAGGCCTTCCTCTGATTTTATTATGGACACTGATGTTGAAGATGAAATAACAACTGATATTCTAGATGCACCAATTTCAGAAGTTGAAATAAGAGGAAGTATTCGACATCTGAAGAATGACAAATCTGCAGGAATAGACAATATTATACCAGAGTTTTTCAAGAACGCGGAAGATGTGCTTACACCTTACCTACTAGTAATATTTAACATTAAGCTCGAAAATGCAACCTTCCCAGAACCATTGGATGCTGGTATTATCATTCGGTGTAACTACTTAAATGATGTGCAACTAAACTATTGCCTTTGTACGTGTTTGAGATTTTTGTCGTGATCGACTGATAAATTACTGTGCATTATAAACACTGAGTGATTCTCTTAAGGTTAAGCTACAGAATAGCGTTTTGTCATACGATAGATATGACAAAACCATTGTTTCAGTTCATATTCACGTCAGTAAAAATAGCTATAATGAGTGTGAGAATAGTCTGAAAATTGGCACTGTTATTAATTAAAGCAATTATGGCCACAACGGCATGATACCACCAAGTCGGCGACATATATATTATAAATGGCAACACAAAAATACATACATATGTGGTTGCACTACTTATGACTAATAATTCTTTTTGTATTCAAACGTTGAGAATATAAATCATGAATGAAGGGCACATGAATAAACTCTATTAGTGAGAAGACATAACTATGCATATGTTTTATGTGTGTGTGTGTGTGTTCGTGTGTGTGTGTGTGTGTGTGTTCGTGTGTTGGGGGAGGGGGGAGTGTTTAGTTTAAAAAAAAATTATTCACAAAGTGAAAAGGATCGAGGTCAAGTTCTTGCAACTTATAAAACCCCTCTCCAAAGATATTTATAATACCTAAATATTACATCACAAGCAATTATTAGAAACACAGACAGAGGAAGATTGACAGTTCAGGGTAAGTTATATGATACAAAAGATGTATAGAAAGAAGACTGAAGTGTGTGTGGGGGTGGGGGTGATAGCCATGGCTTTGTAGTTTATGGCTGATTTAATAGTTTATACATTGGTCCTACCCACAGCTTAAAGATCGTCCTTGAGTCAGTGAGATGGGACTGTGCTCATAAGAGTTCATTTACCCATTGCCATTTTATCAGAATGTAAACATCTAAAGCGCTATTGAATCTGATTAATATCTAGAGCATGCTGATGCTGCATCGAATGTATACACACAAAAAACAATCATGTCGAAACAAAGCCACATGGAGTCAGCTCAGTTTCCTTGCTGCCTGGCCGTTATGAAAGGTTACCTAGCTGTGTCACCAGCATGTCACACTGTATGACATTCCTTAATGTAATATCGCCATTGAAAAAGGAGTCTTATTGGCTCATTTGTAAGTGCAAACATTGGATAATGTGAAGGCCTGGGGGAATAAAACTGTTAATTGTCACTGGCATATGTAGTACTGTAAATGTGTCTAGTATTCTGAAACACTTTCGAAACATATTAAAAGTGAAAATACGGGTTAGAGAGAATCTCCAGCAACCCATACTTGTAGGGATCGGCAGGTCAGGCTCGCTGACTTGGCTGACACATGTCCTCTTATCCCAATTGCCTATATCGATGGCACTGATATTAAGCACTGGATTGCCTGGTCCAGATTCTATTATTTACAAACCGACATCATACAGCTGGAATATTGCTGAAGGCAGCGTTAAACAACAAACAAACTGATGACGCATATTCGAATATATGTAATATTTGGGCCACAAAATCCACATTAAGTTCATATATGTTAAGGGGCTTGAGGTTGGAACAAATATTACGGTTATTGTGAGTTATAAACAACATAATTCACCACGAAAGTCAATGTTGCTGAAAGACATTTTGAATCACTTGGCTGGGAGGGGGTTAAAAGCGGCCGACAATAGAATACTGTAGTCATCACTCTACAGAAGTAGCAAAGGTTTCAACATACTCAGTGTACAGTAGACTCCTAGCCAGCCAGGCCTACAGGTACATTGTCCGTCTTCGCTGCTGCAGCCACCATCACAGCCCTCACTGCATTGTCCACGGCAGTCAACCCCATAACTCCCAGTCTCACATTCTTGGAGCAATTAAAGAAACAATAGACAGTTTAATTAAAATATATACTATCACGATGTAAGGGTGTTATACCCTTTTATCAGTTGTTAAATGTTGCAATTCATTTCTGTTAAATATTCAATATACATGTTGTACACCCTTTTATCAGTTGTTAAATGTTATAATTCATTTCTGTTAAATATTCCATATACATGTTGCACACCCCTTTTGTCAGTTGTTAAATATTGCAATTCATTTCTGTTAAATATTCAGTATATGTTGTACACCCCTGTTATCAGTTGTTAAATGTTATAATGTCAATTAAGAAACAGTATGTGTCTCCCTGTAAACAGATATAACTGCAGATATGGAGTTAAAGTAATATCAACTCGCTCACTATGAAAATTTGATTAGACTCAGGAACTAAAGCTTGTTTTGCTACATGGTGTATTTTTCATATTAGATATACATTTTCTAAAATACTTTACAGTTCCAGTTATACGTGTTCAATGGTCATAAACCTATGGCTATCAGAATTATCAAAAGCCTGTGGGTGAGTGAGTGAGTTGGGTTTTACGCCGTGTTTTGCAATATTCAAGCAATATCACGGCGGGGGAAAATAGAAAATGGCTTCACACATTTTATCCATGTAGGGAATCGAAGGCGGGCCTTCGGCCTGACGAGCGAACTCTTTAACAACTAGGCTACCTCATCCCCCTGTCAAGAGCATTGTAATACTTTCCAGATAAAGGCAGTATATGAGTATATTCCGTTATTATAGCATACGATAGTAACAATTATATTTTTAACTGCAACAAAAAAGTACAATCGAAAAAGCATATGAGAAATACAACAGGAGAGATTGAGCATGAGAAATGCTTACACTGAATGATATAGTGGAGGGCAGTGGTGAAAGTATCACTTACCAGCGCTTGGCTTACACTGAAGCAAGAAAAACCAAAGTACAAAGAAGCAGTGCATTGCAAGCCCAACACACTCAATCAGCCAGCGAATGTCAAACTAAAGCTTATGATTGGGGCACTTAATGGACGTCGATGCATTGCTATTAAGCAAAGAGTTGTGTTTTGTTCCCTGGTGTGTGCTGATTCACTACACTGTTGATCTTTTGCCGATCAGTCATCGTTGCACTCAGTAGGAACCATAGCCACAAATATGTGAAAAGAAACATAAAAGATATGTGCATCCCTTTAGAAGATAATGATTAAGAACAACCCACTCATTTGTGATAATTAACTACAAGCGCTGAATCTTTCAATAAGTTGTACGATTTGTTGGGTTTTGTTCGTTACGAAAAATACACGTTTGGAAGTTATTCTTTTGGTAACTTCTTTCTTGAAAAAATATGTGATGCATGTTTATTTCAGCAATTAAGATTTGGATGTCATACAGTCTACAGAGTTTAAACTGCTGCTGGAACAAACACCAATCAATGTGAAACTGGAAGTCTACCAGTTGGTCGGTTAGTTGATGGTTAACGCCTCAATCAGCAGTATTCCAGCCATTATGCGGCGGTCTGTAAATAATCGAGTCTGGACCAGACAATCCAGTGATCAACAGCATGAGCATCGATCTACGCAATTGGGATACAATGATTTGTGGTAAGTATATCAGACTGCAGAAACATATTTAGTGATATCAATCCCAATTGCAAGTAGAGACAGCGGATAATTCACAAGACTTATATGTCATCAGTGATATATGACAAATGATCACCTGTAATATGTTGTTACAATCACCAAGATCAATGTAGGAATACTCATTGTTCTAATACAGGTGACAGGGATACTGACGGTCGTACATCCTGGGACTACTTTCACGAAGCAACCTTGACTAAGGTTTACCTTAACTCCCATTCATTGTACTAAGGTTTCCTTAGTAACTTACGATCACCTTAGTGCTTCGTGAAAGGAGGTTGGTTGGTTTTATAGTTTTAGGGCGACGTGGGCCAATAAGAGGCCTATTTACGCCCAACACATTGACTTGATTTAATCAACAATCATAGGTAATATCATCGCCAAAAGGAATAGTTCAGTTAAGATAAAAGAAACGACAACACTATTAATATTAATTTGGATAGAAGTATACATATGTCGAATAACCTCTGCTTTGTGTTACGGATTAAAAACCTTAAGTAATCACTTTCATTTCTGAAACATGAAATACTCATTCATTACAAAAAGCAGTAGGTTCAGATGACAGAGTGTTAAAATGATTTAAAACCACAGAACTAAATGTGAAAGGAGGCCCTGGTGTACAAGTATTTCCCTTGGTCCGAAAGCACGTGTTTGGTTGAGGGAACTGATCCCAGTCTAGTGCCGATTAAATCACTGGTATGTCAGCACCAAACCCATCTCATGCTGATAGTCAAGAATGTCTTCGCCCAGTTGAATCGTTTCAATTCGCTTTGCCTAGTTCGGAATATTACAGTTTTGACCAGGATCCGCTGATGCGAGTGCCACATGAAACTGATCTTATCAACACTACATCCGTTATCATAATAAATAACAAAGGTGACACGGTCAACGACCTGTGTCACTCTAAACGAACTGCCCGGAGAATTTTTTATTGTATTTAGATCACCAACCATATTTTGTCAAATGTGGTAACAAAGAGTGCCTTGCTTTGTAATTGATTGCTAATTACAGGTCAATTCTTCAATCACATTTAACATGCGACAGATTTAAACGACGTAAGAAATTGTGACATACTCTAATCATCTCATCTTACGAAGGGATTATATGCCTCACGCAGCTTTATTCAAATTATATGTGAAGGCTTGTGAACAGTGTACCAGTCGAGGAGCGGACACTATTTGAAATGATTTTATGCCCAAAGAACCACACTGCAGATGTCTCCAAGCTAGCGGGACGTCGCTAAACTGGCATGGCTGCTTCACTTCAGGCTAAGTCTAAACGTGCGCCTAACACTTCAGACAAATAATTGGCAATATAACTGTAGAGCAGTGAAACGCTCTTAAAATATCAAAACACCCAATGTGTCCTGACATGGATCCTGGCCCGCTGCACCACTCGTCATTAGTAGCACTTCCATTTCGACAAGCACACACTCTGAACAAACAAGTCCTGATGTGTGTGTACAAACATGTAACTAATAAGACTAAAAATAACTCTACATTGCAGCCACGTCATTCTTTAGTTTGGAAACTACAAGATGTTTGCATAAACGTTTCAAGTGCTTTGTATATTCATACAGCATTCCTGTCATTTTGTATGCAATTATAACCATAGAGGATTTGGAATACTAAACGATTATAAGAAATGGGACCAATCAGTTTCCTAACATAGCTTACAATGTCGCAGCTAGTAGAGACAAACAATTTGTAAATGCAGTACATGAAGATGGAATGCAATATAGTGAAATGGACTATGGCGGGCACACGATAATCCAGGGACATACATAAGTTAGAAACTAAGCTGGGATATTCTGAACCTTAAACGGCCAAACTGTAAACGGACCAAACAAGTTTGTAGATGTATTCTAGAAAGAAAGAAAATATAAAGAATCTGATGTATGTGCATGTAGGATATTTCCCACGATACCACCAGGAAGTCAGCGTGAATTGTATATAGTCAGTGTAACGTCCAGGTAACGAATAATAATGATAATACCAGGTCCATTTGTCATGCACATTTCACCATGCACAATGCATGCTCGAAGCTCCCAAACAATCTGCCAGTTACCTATGATGACGAAACCTGGAACTCATTCAACCCATGTAATGTGTTGCAATAATAAAAACCGCATAGGTCATTGAAGTATTTTCTACATAATACTTTCATAACCTTATCACCAGTACAATTACATTTTCACTTGATATGCGTACAATTTGACACGATGAAAGTTGTGTGATAGTTTGTTGACAGCCAAGCGGTGTTACTACAGATCAGCAATGCTATAGCAATGACGCAGCGTCCTACATGAGGTTTACCACATCACTGTGTAAAACATGATCCTACAGCAAGATGTAAAAGCGGTTTACTAACATGTTTTCACTTCCAAATAACATGGGTAATGATAAATTGTATTGTTGTTGCTATTATAGCTGTTTAACGCGCTGTCTAATGTCCTAGCTTTAAGACAGCGGTCTGTCCTGGTGATTGACATCATCAGCATCAATCCACGCAACTGAGATGCGATGATATGCAAGTCACTCTGCCTGACCATAGGATCCATTAGGAGGAGCGTAGGTCGCTGTGTACCTCTGTTCCTACCAACACATCAGCTGTAATTCTGTAGTGGGTCTAGTGCCGGATGAACGGGCGGTAAACGTACACTTAACTACTTCCGTAATCTGAATGGCCCATGCCACATCATACTTCATTCGTACTGATACAGCCCGCTCACAATGGATATGTATGATACTGGCTTGTACAAACCATTCGTTACTCGTCTGGGATCAGGAGGCAATACACCAGTTCTAGTATTGCGAAAGCTAAAATGGAGTTATTTAATCACCTGATATCTATTTGTCCTTCTAGACAAACCAAACTCCTTAAGCTTGATAATAACGTAATAACTTAATAACTTTCTTTGTATCTACTCGGTGTACATAAAAGGGGCCTTACGACCCTTGACAGGCACGCAAGGGGTAGACGATACCAGTACCAGGCGAAAATGCAACAGTTACTTCATTTAGCAGTCATCAAATCATTCTAAACAGTACTTTATACCAATGTACACCGTGGAACATACAACGTGGTTTTCTTGATTCGAAACAAGGGAAGAACACTTATCTGACAATGATGCCGAGGCATATAAATCATTTCAACGACAAATGAAGTGTAAGGAGTTCGGGGTTTGTCTGGTGTCCACCGCCGTGATATTGCTGGAATAATGCTAAAAGCGGCTTAAAGCAATACTCACTCACTCACTCCTTTAACTGTAATAGACCTTACCGTAATTATAAGTTTTGTCTTCTTATTGTGATATTTTAAACTCGATACATCAGTTAAGATCATACGGATTTACAGCTAAAGGTATATATATAACATGTTAGTTCATCTGGTGACATGATAGTGGATATCTTCGCTTGTGGCAGTTTATCTGGTCCAGTGACATGATACATGGATATGTCCACCAGAGAAAATATTAACTGCATAAGCTCACTAGTTGAAATTACAATGTATTTGGACAGAAAAATAGAACTATCCTGAAAACACTTTCAGCTGTTTCTCAGAGTTCGTTTCTACATATCAAACCATTCTGACAGTTCAGTATTTACGCTGCATATCTGGAAGGGGAAGCAACCCATACATCCTCAGCATATACGCCTATGTCAGTATTCTGTCAGTCTCCTGCAGCCCAACCGCACACAGAGCACTTGCTGTCGGTACTCGTTCAGTGTCAGTCACTGTTGTCATGGAAAGGGGAGCAACTCTTGCTATCATAAAGAATCTGCTCCAACTAAAACTGTAAACATTTCTACTACCAAATTTAAGCGTATCTGGGGTGACAACGTATTCCACCTCCCAGCTATAATTAACACCTTCGTTACTCTGCCTTATAGTTTATGTTACATTATATTACTTTCTACCATTTAAGCGTATCTGGGGTGACAACGTATTCCACCTCCCAGCAATAATTAACACCTTCGTTACTCTGCCTTATAGTTTATGTTACATTATATTACTTTCTACCATTTAAGCGTATCTGGGGTGACAACGTATTCCACCTCCCAGCAATAGTTAACACCTTCGTTACTCTGCCTTATAGTTTATGTTACATTATATTACTTTCTACCATTTAAGCGTATCTGGGGTGACAACGTATTCCACCTCCCAGCAATAGTTAACACCTTCATTACTCTGCCTTATTGTTTATGTTACATTATATTACTTTCTAAAAGATTCATAACTTGTTATTCAAGCATTTCAGTGATTGCAAACCCACATATCTTACAAATTGGATATCTGATGACGCACCCACTTGCTAACACGGCTGCATTGATATCATCCTTTAGAGAATCGGGTACCGATTGTACCTATGAGGAGAACGGAACCAGGCGGTTTTTCTACGTTTCTAAAATATTACACATAAAGTGTTCATAACAATACTGTATATTGTTAAATTGGTGAATCCTAAATTTTCACGTGAGCCGTAGACAGGGTAACACATGTTTCTTTTCATTGATAAAAACAGTTTGTGAAAATATCTACTTTATACCAATGTACACAGTGGAACATATAACGTGGTTTCCTTGATTCAATACAAGCGAAAAACACTTATCTGACAATGATATGATGCCATATAAATCATTTTCAGCCACAAATGAAGTGTAAGGAGTTCGGGGTTTGTCTGGTGTCTCCCGCCGTGATAGGATAGCACATGTTTCTTTTCATTGATGAAAACAGTTTGTAAAAATATTTTCATGTTTATCTCATCTAGTGCCATTATACATGAATAAGTCCGCTTGAAAATATTAAGTCACTTGTTGAGATAATAATGTTATTTGAGAGAAAAATAGAAAACATTTTCAGCTGTTTCTCAGAGTTCGTTTCCACATATCAAATCATTTTGACAGTTCAGTATTTACTCTACATATACGGAAGGGGAAGCAACGTGTTCAGTGTCAGTCACTGTTGTCATTGAAAGGGGAGCAACTCTTGCTATCATAAAACATCTGCTCCAACTAAAACTGTAAACATTGCTACTACCAAATTTAAGCGTATCTGGGGTGACAACGTATTCCACCTCCCAGCTATAATTAACATCTTCGTTGCTCTGCCATATATTTTCTGTTTCATTGTATTACTTCCAACAGTCATGACTTGTTATTCAAGCATATCAGTGATTGCAAACCCACATTTCTTACAAAAAGGATATATCTGATGACGCACCCACTTGCTAACACGGGTGCATTGACATCATCATTGAGAGAATCGGATATCGATTGTACCCATGGGGAGAACGGAACCCGGGTAAGCAAACGCATTGCCAACATGGTTACACTACCACCGAGAAGGGACCATTGGCAACACGCCCTGACAAACAGTCGGGTTAGATGAACATTAGGTAGACTGTTTTCACGATTCTTTGTGAATAGACCACCTATATTAAACATGTTTGATTAAAGTGTCAATAGACGAAATACAATACTAAACGATAACATTTTAAAGATGTATAAACAAATTCTGGGTATGAGACAAAATGGTGATCAGTGATACTACTTCCTAAATGGGTGATCGAAAGTCCCATTGATAATTGATATAACATCCGCTACTCAACCATCCAATTTATCCAGACAGTAAACACCGCCACCATTTTAGCGACACCGATTCTCAACCAGACAATTGCGAAGTTAATAGTAAAAGAAACACAAAAGAAGTAAGAAAAACACCTTTTCGTCCATACTAACTTGCTTGTTGCTCTCTTGCCTTAATGCTCATTGTTATTCAGTAGATAAAGCGTTCTCTCCTCACGATAAAGACCCGGGTTCGATTCCCCATATGAGAACAATGTGTGAAGCCCTCTGGTGGCCTCGGACTTGATATTGCTGGCATATTGCTAAAAACGACGTAATGTAATACTCACCCACTCGTTATGCGATTCAAAGAACAAAACCGTTGAATGCAAAAAGCAGTTTTATTTTCTGCCAGCAGCATAACACTATATAACCTCGGTACCATAACTAGAGCATCAAATAGCAATCAAGAGCTTTTATATATAGAAAAATATACATCAAACATATAAAGACACATATAGCTAACAATACTTCTGCACTATCTCTATTCTGCGGTGCGTATGGAGATGCAGCGATTCATTGTGCCGGCTGCATCTCATAAACATGCATAGGTGTTCACCTTAAAGAGGTGTCAAACGCACAAACTCACTACTATCAGTGCAAATTAAAATCATGCAAAGAAATATTTCGAAATATCTAGTTATCTGAAAGATGTAAACATTGGAATTATACTTATTTCTAATCTTTGAAGTTTGGCATATATCTCACTAACTCAGCGACTTAAAGTACATAAGACAATGTAGGATACCTATTTGTCTAGGTTTGTCATACATAGCGTGTATCGTAAACAGGGTAACTCAACACATGGTTTTTTTTATTGATAAAACAGTTTGTAAAAATATTTACATCTTTAGTCATGAAATACCAAGAAACAATTGAACTATCTACACACGTTTGTCGGAACATGTTCTTTTGATCCCGACAGGATGTAGGAACATTAAATCAAACAAGGAAGATTGACTGAACATTGTATCCACAACCCATAAAAACTCAAGAGTGTCATTTGTTATTAAAATATGCAACTGGTTAATAATCACTTTATTTGCATAATGGACGCTTCCACGTTATATACGATCCCGACCCCAAGGTTTCTGTTGATAATGTCATGTAACGTGAATTTGTTAATTAACGGTATTTTGGAAAGTTATATTTTCTGTTACGCTTAACGATAATCCTGGAACATCACACTTAGATACATAAAAGGAAGGAATATGAAACATTCAGCTCTAGAGTGCAATCACTCTTAGTTATCTAGAACCCGTGAAGGTCCGGGTTAGATTGAACCTTCAGTAACCAATGCTTGTCGTAAGAGGCGACTAACGGGATCGGGTGGTCAGGCTCGCTGGCTTGGTTGACACATGTCATCGGTTCCCAATTGTGCAGATCGATGTTCATCCTGTTGATCACTGGATTGTCTGGTCCAGACTCGATTATTTACAGACCGCCGCCATATAGCTGGAATATTGCTAAGTGCGGCGTAAAACTCAACTCACTCACTCACTCACTAGTTATCTAGATATTCCATAAACAAACTAGCGATGAAACTTGCATGGATCACATAAAGTCTGTGATGGCACTGGGTGTTCTCTGAAAGAGTAAACTGTGCCCTTTGGGATGCTTAATGTCCAGATGTAATCAAGTGTTAACTGGTATATGCACCCTTGTTTGTTGAATTAAATATCATCTTCTGAAGATGCAGGATCTGGTTTCTTTGGCGATGGTTGGCCTGGTAACCTCATTGCAAGTTTTTCCTGGAGTTGCTTCGTTACTTGTGAAAACGCCATGAAATTGACTGGAGTAGGACCAGATTTGGGTATTGCTTTGGTTTGTGTGGTGAGTTTGGAATCTTTTCGTGGTGGTGGAGGTGGTGGACCGCCTTTGCCTGCTGGTTTCAGTGATGAGGAAGTTGGCCGTTGACCAGAATTTTGATAGTCCCCATCAAAGGTCTGTAGATCGTCACTAGATGTGGAGCCTCGGCAGCTAGATGAGGAGCCTCGGTGGCTAGATGAGGAGCCTCGGCGGCTAGATGAGGAACCTCGACTATCTGAAAATGTGCTATCTCTGTCACCAAACCTATGATCAGCTAGCTTTGACCTGATAGGCTGTGGTGATATCTCGGGTGGTCCATGGCAGGCCTGTTTTGGCAGTGGTGGTAGTGGACGTTTCTGTATTGGTATCGTTTCATTTGAAGACATTTCATTTTGACGACCAGAACTGCACAAGGAAGTAAGGGATGGGTATTCTTTCACATCAGGTGGGTCTGATGGTTTATCCGTTTCTCTTAAGTTTCCAGGACTCTTGGTTAATTTTGGTATTGGAGGGAAAGAAGGCAGTTTGGGAACTGTTGATACCTCTTCATTTTCAGCACCCTTTTCCTTCATTCCAAGCAGTTTCTCCTTATTTTCATAGGTATCCGACAATCTCGGGATTGGTGGAAAAGATAAATCATCAACCTTAGGTTCTCTTTGACGTGAACGACGAGCATCCGAGAGGTTCCGCGAAAGATGACTGGTTTTGGCTTTTAGTGGCAGTCGTGGAAGTGTAGATGGTCCGGATGGTTGCATTTGACCACGAGTATAAGAGAACTGCCTTTTCTGGGACTCCATTTCAATACTTGTCAGTTCATCATATTCTGAAGACTGTGATGTTGTAGAAGCACGCCCAAAGTGAGCATCATGTGTTTTGGTAGTTTCGTTTGATGCTGGATGTAACTCGAGCAAGTTTCTTGAAAGAGGCAAGGTTTTCGTTTTAGGCAAGAGTGATACAGTGGATTTTCCTGCTGACCCCGGCAGATCACAGTCATCAAGAGATTCCTTATTATTCTTTGAGGAAAAATTATCACTGATCATATCAATGATGTTTTGAGACATTTCCTGGATATTTGGCACACCACTTTCCAATATGGGATGGGTAACGTCCTCTTCGGGTATGAACATCCCTTCTGTTTCCATGGAAACAACTGAGCCAGCAGATGCGTACACGGACCCAAAGTCCGCATCTGCTGCGGGTGGCATGTCGAGCCAGGATTTTCTGAAAAGTGTAGACATTGCAGATTGACGTGAATTCGCATCTAATGATTCTCGAAGGATAACATCATCTCCCTCTTCCGGAGTAACTCGTGTGAGGACAATATCCATGTTTTCGTCTTCATCAGGTACGAATGTGTCTGTTTTCTTAGTGTTGGAAAGGTACGCCATCTTGCTGGTTTCGAAAGTAGATACTGTGCTGTCTCCCCTGCTGTCGTCTACATGAACGTAATCATTTGTTAGATTTGAACTGACACTTCCACGTGCCAGGGCTCCTTTGTAGTTAGATTTAAAACGATTATCGCTTTTACGCCATCCACGACCGAGTTTCTTCAGTAGGATTCCGCTCAATGTTGAACATTTCTTTGGGGGTTGAGGGGGTTGAGGCCTACCAGTTACTGCAAATTCTGTTACTGCTTTAATAGATTCTTCAGAAGATGCTGCACCACAAGAATCATTTGACACAGGCCTTTGTGCACCTAAATACTCATACGAATGACCGTCACTCTCATTTGATGATGTGTCTGAGTTGCTTTCGCTTCTCTTCTGCTTTCTTAAGGGTACAGCATCACCCTGGTTCTCGTAGATTGCAGCAATGTCCAATATGCTGAAGGACAGGTCATTCAGCCTTTGGTCTCGTTTGCAGCGTCTCCTTTGAAAAGGTTGAAACAAGTCATATCAAGAAAGGTACCAACTATGTAAAATAGTTTTTTCTTTATACAGGATATACTATAACATACAAATTCAAAACATTTGTACAGATATACCAATAGAAGTATATACACACCGCGGTTCAAAGGCTACAAGGTGCTTTTAAGCTATGATTTTGAGAGACAGCTGTCTGGACTCGGTGATAAGAGTACTAGTATATGTGTGAGACATTTCACGAATCAAACAACACACTTTTGTGAAAATCACCACATAAAAGAGAAGCTAATCAATTACTTGTATGTTGTCACAGCGAATGTTCTCAGCAGTTTTCGTCTTGACAGGACGTCCAGTGAACAATTTTAAAACAATTATTCAGTATTCTTTGGATCAAATTGTTCCTTTCTTGTGAGAATATATCTACTTCCTGTATAAAATGACAAGCTATTTGTACTTACTTGGTAAACAACAGGATAGCCCATACGAGGAGGAGAAGCAGGATATATACGCCTATGAACCCCAGCGATATATATTCTGGAAAAGGAGTAAATAAAAAGGTACATGTGACATTTTGTAGAAACAACTAGCTACGTTAGAATCGGCCCTAATTTAATCAGATATACCTACTGGTTATACAAGGTTCGGTTGCATTTACATGATTCTGAAAAAGGATTGGGTTTCTTTAAAACATATTTCAATCACCAGCTCTACTTTGTTAAAAAAATTCTGAAAAATCGAAATTGTGAAAACATTATTGAATTCATTTGATGCTGAGTGCTGACAGGTTATAGGAACATTAAATCAAACAAGGAAGATTGACTGAACATTGTATCCACAACCCATAAAAACTCAAGAGTGTCATTTGTTATTAAAATATGCAACTGGTTAATAATCACTTTATTTGCATAATGGACGCTTCCACGTTATATACGATGGCGACCCCAAGGTTTCTGTTGATAATGTCATGTAACGCGAATTTGTTAATTAACGGTATTTTGGAAAGTTATATTTTCTGTTACGCTTAACGATAATCCTGGAGCATCACACTTAGATACATAAAAGGAAGGAATATGAAACATTCAGCTCTAGAGTGCAATCACTCTTAGTTATCTAGAACCCGTGAAAGTCCGTGTTAGAATTGCTCTTTAGTAACCCATGCTTGTCGTAAGAGGCGACTAATAGGATCGGGTGGTCAGGCTCGCTGACTTGGCTGACACACGTCATCGGTTCCCAATTGCGTAGATCGATGCTCATGCTGTTGATCACTGGATTGTCTGGTCCAGACTCAATTATTTACAGACCTCCGCCATATAGCCGGGATATTGCTGAGTGCGGCGTAAAACTAAACTCACTCACTCTGACTAAGAGGGAATGTCCCGACTCATGAAACGTTAGATATATTCAAATGTACAACTTCCGGTTGTGGCATTTCGTCAAGGACAGTATTCCAGTTTTATCAAGGAGTGTCAGCATGATGTGTGAATGATGCATTTCTCTTATTTAACACTTCGGTGAATCCCATAAGTAAGTCATATGATGCTATGACAACATATACGACTGAGCGAACTCCCACTCATGTTAAGTATCGTTAACACAAGCTGCAACATGTCATATCGATTGAGTACGGGTACGATACTATGATGCTATACATCGAGTGACGACGTCAATGAGGAGACGTGTGTATGGCTGCCCAGGGTGGTCGCACTCACCATTGATGACGTGTCCCCTGTCTCATGTCTTATTATATGACTCTTTATGCACTTTTTGAATGAAATCTAATTTGTGTAATTTTTAATTTTGACCCCTGGACCCTTTCTAGGTACCGATCCACAAGGCGTATGAAGCGTTACGACCTGTGGTAATTCTATGGTGTATCATAGACTTCCGAATGTCGTAGCGTTCAGGACCCAGCATTACAAAGAATTTTCAGTCAAATTGTTGGAAAATGATTTCTGTTTGTAAAATAATTATCATAAATCTCACAAACATCTTTGTTTCTATTTTTTCGGTCAAGTGAGGTCGGTGATAACTTTCTTTTGCCCGGTAGCTTAGTAACTGTAACTTGAAAACGGTAAAAACACACACTACCAAACCTCTGCAACAATGTAACCTTGTCATCAACAGCTATGACACTCAGAAAATGAATAATTCGACTCGAACTTGAGCTATCATTAATATGAATTTACGATTCAAACATATACAGCAAAACGAAATCCCATACATGTTTAGTATCGTAAAACAATTTGCAACATGTCACTTCACCTATGAGCAAAGTCATATAGATTGCTTTTCCATGATTCATATTTGGGCAACCATCAGCCCAAGTCTAATGCGAGGCATTAAGTTTGTCTAGTATATTAAATAAGAACTCTACATACCCGGTCTCATGTCTTTAAAGGACCATCCGTCCCAAGACATCCTCTAGTCATCTTTACTTGGGCCGAGTGTTACTCAACCCTGTGTTAAACATACTTTCTGCTGTGATTATTTATTTCCCTCTTTACATTACAGTTAACGTTCCTATTCCGCTTAACAGGGAAATAAAGCATCAACGATAAGGAATGTTGTAGACTGAATTCATGTTTACAATGAGTGTGGACTTTATAAAATGTTAAACATAACCAACGTCTTCAGCAATTAAGTTCAATTTTACCTGCACCGTTTTGTTTAAAAAATGAGGTATATTATACAAGGCCTGTGAACTGTTAATAGTACGGCAACATCTAATATGGTATTTCTTTCATTAAAGTGAGAAATGGTGAAGAGGTTTGATTTTGTAAAGGAAGATAGTTTTCAAAGTTTGAAAGAGAAATAACAAAGACAAGTGTAAGGCAACGTATATCCATCTGTTGTTTCACACTGAATGTCCAACATGGTCGGTGTTTCCAGTGAACAATTTCCTTATGTAGTGATCGCCCCCGAACACTGTGTCAGGGGCCAGTGTTAAGGAAATATAAAGCTCAGTCGAAACCGTCTCATTAATACATTGACCTGTGGTAGTGACAGACGGAATTTCATACGAGTGAGTGAGCGAGTTTAGCTTTATGCCACTGTCAGCAATATTACAGCAATATCTCAGCGGGAACACCAGAAATGGGCTTCACACATTGTACATATATGGGGAATAGAACCCGGGCCTTCGGCGTGACGAGCGAACACTTTAACCACACGGCTACCCTCACCGCCCCACACAACGAAGTGATATTGCAGGATAAACGTTATGTTCTAAAAGAATAAGATGTGTGTGTTAAAAATTGAAGAGCAATCCTTAAACGTGACTTCATACGACAAGGTATTTGAACCTGGAATAATCACAAACCATGAACGATAACTGGTTTTAGCAACCCGTCTTGTAGATACCACTTGTATTGACTTGTAGTCTTGTAGTCATCACATGTGTTAACGTAAGTGAATGATAATGATTTTATGCCGCATACCTTTTATTCCGGCATATTACATCACGGCGATTTCACCAGAAATGGACTTTACCTCGAACCCGTGTCTTGAGAGCTAGGAGTGAAAACCTAAACTACTATGTTACCAAACTAACACAGCGTTAACGTTAATTTGGTACGAGGAATAATATAACTCAAAGAATGAAGTCTTCTGGAAATATATATACTAATATATATACGTTTGGTGTTTTTCAGAAAAGAATGCAATTCGCTAACAGAATAGAAAGCTGCGTCTTCAAGATGGAGGTTCAGAAAACAAATTAGGTTTGATGAGATTGCCGATTAAAACACAACTGGATGCTGACGGCGTGGCAAAGGGGTTATCTTCGCGTGTGACTTGGATGACGTTTCTTCCTTACCAATCTCAGGACACGTGTCTCCTGGTGTCAAGGTGAAGGTTACGTGTGTCTCCTGGTGTCAAGGTGAAGGTTACGTCACGCCATGTGTTCTCGATGGCGATAAAGGTGGTCAAGGTGAAGGTTACGTGTGTCTCCTGGTGTCAAGGTGAAGGTTACGTGTGTCAAGGTGAAGGTTACGTGTGTCTCCTGGTGTCAAGGTGAAGGTTACGTGTGTCTCCTGGTGTCAAGGTGAAGGTTACGTCACACCATGTGTTCTCGATGGCGATAAAGGTGGTAGCGTTGTGACGGATCCATACCGTACTGTTTCTGATGATTCCCTGAGCAGCCGACCTTTCCTCTAACCTGTCATAGTTGTTTGATAGGGATTCAGAAACACAACACATGCTCAGGACAAAATCGGAATCGTACACATATATTTCAGCACTATTAAACCAGACGATATGTTGCCAGAGTGAGTGAGTGAGTTTTACACCGCTTTTAGCAATATTGCAGCAATATCACGGCGGGGACATCGGAAATGGGCTTCAAACATTGTACCCATGTGGGGAATCGAACCCGGGCCTTCGACGCTTTAACTACTGGGCTACCCCATTTCCCCATATGTTGCCAGAGGTATGCAGAATTACATGATTGAAAACAATGCTACTACGTATCGTGGTCTGGTAGCTACCCTCGTCTATCACATACATGTACTTGGGTTGAAATGCTCCTCAGTTCCATCCCCGGAAGACATACTTATATTATATATACTGAACCGCTAAAGAAACGCGACACCGATAAAGGTTTCGTAAACCACACACTTTAATTCGCTCTAATTAACAATCAAAACGGAGGATTGCGTTCAAACTTGAGAGTTATGGTTGACACATTTTCGGGAATCACATTTAGAGTTCACACTACCCAAATCACCAAAAATGGTACCAATAAGATACCTCAAATTCAGTATGGTGTGTCGCCTCCATGGGCATCGATGACGGCGTTGCGTCGTCTGTACATGGAATGAAGTTGTCGGCCTTGGTTGGAGGTCGTTCAGTCTTGTTTGAATCTCAACCCAAAGGTGTTCTATTGGACTTAAATTCGGCCTGAGTGCAGGTCGGTGAAGGGGTTTGGATGCCATGTTGTCGTAGGAAGTCCAGTGTTGCTCTGGCAGTGTTGACACGAGCTTTATCTTGCTGGAAGATGTGATTTCTGTGACGTTTAAAAATGTGGTAGAAAGTGGGGTCTTATAACTTGGTCAGTATAACTAGCAGCTGTCACGCCATTTCCTCGTCCTGGACCGAGATTCTGGAACACCACGGGGCCAACTCTCTGGTTCAGATAGATTGCACCTCACACCATGATGCTTGGACCACCCCTCGAGTCTCTTTCAACAATACCCGCATTGGATAACCGTTCCCCGCGCCTTCGCCATACTCTCACTCCGCCATCGGCTGTCGAAACACAATATCGGCTTTCATCAGTAAAAGCACAGTTCTTCATTGTCGATAACGCCAATTGCGATGCCGAACTGCCCATTGCAGTCGGTTTTAGCGGTAACGAGCGGTGGGGACAGGACCCACCGCACTGCGTGGACGGTCTTGGATGCTGTTAATGGCTTGATACCGTTCCTGCAGTCGGTAGATTGTCCTAACATGAAATTAAAATGATTGGCTACCCTCCGTGCAATCTGGCAAACTTGCAATCGTCCCAAGGCTTGGTTCCTTTGATCTCTCGTAAGTCGTACCATGGCGATTGTGTCAACACAAGAATGATTTCAAGTGAGTTTGGGACTCGCTTTCAATGGTAGGGTTGTCACGAAATGCACGTGCATTTTCATTTTCACGAATGTCATACGGAACCTTTTACCACGTCTGTCTTTTTTGCTACGTTTGGTCGATATGCTTGTTCATCAGAGAAAACACTGACGTTGGTAATAACTGTCAATTTGGATTGAAAAACATGTTAACTAAACGCTGCAATCATACAAAAACACCACATTTTGCATTTGGTTTTGTAAAGTCGCGTTTCTTTTTGCGGTTCAGTATATTACCTTCGTTGCATGTATGTGTTAATAACCTTTGCCTAGGCCCCTGTCAACGGATCTTGCAATGGGAAAAGGAGGATGACGTTTTTAGTTGACATTGCTGGTTTTCCCTGGTCCATTTGCCGCTGTTTCCTTTTGTGTCCGGTTTTATCAAATGCTCGAAACAGGTTAATCTCTTGCTTTGACATTATATGTTATCGCTGTGGAATTGTTTCTTTATTTTATCTCGTTCTATAACTTCGTGTTCATGTTTGTATGTATCGATAACATTGGTTTTAACGAGACTTACACTACGCGCGACAACTAAGTTCGACAACTGACACATATATTGTTCGAGTAATACCTAGTAGGGCAGAACATAATGTCCTATTCACAAGCATACACATTCAATCACGAGCAAATACGGATGTTAACAGGCGTTCGCAAGTTGTTTGTTTGTTGTTTGTCGCCAGCAATCGGCAATATTCCAGCTATATGGGGGCGGTGGGGTAGCCTAGTGGTTAAAGCGTTGGCTCGTCACGCCGAGGACCCGGGTTCGAATCCCCACATGGGTACAATGTGTGAAGCCTATTTCTGGTGTCCCCCGCCGTGATATTGCTGGAATATTGCTAAAAGCGGCGTAAAACCAAACTCAGTCAGTCAGTCAGTCCAGCTATATGGCGGCTGTCTGTACATGATCGAGTCTAGACCAGACAATCCAGTGATCAACAGCATGAGCATCCTGGTGAGCGTGTCCCATTTCGCCCGTCATGAAGGAACTCAGTACGTACTTGTATGTACCCAGGATGTCACAAGTACTCGTTGTCGGTAAACATGGGCAACAATGTGGCGAAAACTGAAACCACAGGCAACGTTTAAATGTTTCCTTCTAAACTTCATCAAATGTGTCGTACTTTCATAGTATGGCATCGAAGATTCCAAAACAGAGTTGTGTAAATACAAGACTTAATTTCTGTCAGAAGTAAGTACCTTGTCATTTATATTTTGCCATTGAATTTGATTCTGTTACCAGTATGTTTATGTAGTATGTTTCATACATTAGTCCATTATCCACGTGTATATTCCATACATTAGTCCATTATCCACGTGTATATTGCATACATTAGTCCATTATCCACGTGTATATTGCATACAACTAAAATGCTTATGCATTTGATAAGCTTGTTACTCGTCATTCACAACAACAACAGTGTAATAACAGTTCCTTACCGCTAACACCCGGTGTCATCACTGATTTTCAGTGCTCCATTAATGCTATTTTCAATGCCAGGTTGCCTTTACGCCATATGGCCAATGTTTCGCTGGATAATCGGAATTGGTTACTCCTAGGCCTTGCCTTGGCGTTATGTAGATATTATCGACATTTAGAAATAGCATTGTGCGTATCTATTTTATTCGTTTCCTTATTATTTTTATTACTTTCATCATTTATGATGATGTCAAGCATGTACTGCATTTGCAACAATGGAACAGAAATAGGGGCTCCTTTCACGAAGCAACCATTACTAAGGTTAACCTTAACTCCCATTCTTTAACAGTGCACTAAGGTTACCTTAGTGACTTACGATCACCTTAGTCCTTCGTGAAAGGAGGCCCTGGCTCACAAGTCCACAAGTTAAGGTCGATGTTCATAACGTGTCCCTATAAACATTTTTAATGCATGGTCCACTTTCATAATATTCACTCCCTATATGTCATCGGTGATCCATGTGAAGTATCTCCGGTTATCATATATACAAAGAACTTAGTTAAGCACCCCCTGATTTTTTGCAATGATAGGTTTTCAACACGTACATAAAACGTTTTCTGGCCCGTATGAACCTTTGACCAATAAACCGACAAAATGGTTGGAATCAATGTTGATTGTATGGTGACAATTGCTCATTTTAAAAAAAAACACCGAGTGACTGGTTTACATAGAAATTTGTCTGTACAAGTATGGCCCTGGGATGTTTAATGTTGGATTTATTGGTGAATGTGAACATTCAAAATGTCATTTTGCGTGTCTTACACGATTCAAGGTCAATACCGAATATAACCTCCATGTGACAGCCAGCAGTCACCTCCTCATACCCCCTGCCAGCCTATTGATCCGCTTAAGGAGCAGTCTACGCCATTCCTCGTGTAAAGCAGCTTCCAACTGGGAACGGTTTTGTACAGGAGGATCCATTTGTTGCACACGACGACCAATCGTGCCCCAGATCAGTTCCAAAGGGTTCTGAACGGGGCTCATTGAAATCGTGAGATAGGTCATGGGGCGCTTAAGTTATTTCCAGTTGCATACACCCGTGGTATAAACCTGAATACCGTTCCTTTATTAGCATTATCATGGGGGTGGGGCCGCGGGGGTAGCCTGGTTGTGAAAGCATTTGCTCTTCACGCCGAAGGCCGGTTTCGATTCCTCAATTGCATACAATGTGTGAAACTCAAACCACTACAAAGGGCATTTGGCTGCCAAACAGTATGCCGTTTATTAAAACTTTCTCTAAGTTGTCAACGACGTCGCCACTACCACCAAGTACAGATAAACCTGAAATAGGTAGGACTGATGCAATGTTAAAGGATAGCGTGTCACATTGATATTTCATGATCATCCTAAAAATCGCTAAAGTTAGGATTAAGCCGGTGTGCAAATGTAATCGATGATATTTTTCCGGTCACAAATTAATATATACAAATGTAAAAGGAGAGAAGTTCATTTCAAAACAATAATTTCCAAGTAATATTAGTATTCATATGAATATAAAAGAAAGAATGCTGCAGCGGACCAGAATATATAACTCCTGCCAGGTAAATGCAAATATTAAAACACAACTCCGAGTAAGAGTACAGTCAGTGCCACGCCCATTTTGAAAGTGCTAGTTTATCTTAAGATGATTCCATGATGTTTCGACAAAAGATAATAAACTCTCTTTTTTGAAACTCAATATAATATATTCACATTGACATATTTTTGCTGATTACGGGTAAAGATGTGAAGTCTTACTAACTGCTCAGTATCATTATGTAATATTCTTAATATTGGGACGAATCCACACAGCAACAAGGTCCTTTCACTTCTAAGACATCCCCCCAAAATTGTTTATGTACATACGTCCATTTGAATGGACATCCCAGCCCCACCCCTCCTCCACTTTTCCCATATAAATCTAATGATCAATGTGACAGGATACATTTACGTATTCTCAGTGAGACGATTCCCTCTATATGAGAATAACGTGGTATCATGTCATATCCCACGGAGTCACGTACACACGAGTATCCATACACGTATTAACTAAAGAAAACAATGGGGCAAAACTGTTCACATCCGCGTAAAGTTGAGAAAAGTCGGCCGTGTACGAGAATACAACGGAAACGGAAAAGTGACAGGTGCATCCAAGAAATGTATTTTTAATTTTAGTCTGTCGACAAGTTGGGTTTCCGATATATTTTTGAAAAAGATATTTTACATAAGTAGCGAACTGTATCCAATTTTGCTATTGTTAAAAACACCTGGCATTGTAACTGTTAGTGCAGTCAAAATCAGACAGCGATATTATAGGCTGGTTTACATGACAGGACCAGAACCATTAAGTGAAGACTGACATGGGGGAGAGAGAGAGAGAGAGAGAGAGAGAGAGAGAGAGAGAGAGAGAGAGAGAGAGAGAGAGAGAGAGAGAGAGAGAGAGTACGAGAGAGAGGTGTTATATTAATTGCTTGTATTTTCATTTCCAGTGAATAACATCATCATTGCATGGACAATTGCTGGGATTGGAATGGCCCTTGCCTGTTTCTTCCTATTACTATATCTATGCTTGAAATGGTAAGTCTTTCCAAATAAATCTTGATTTGTGAAATACGTTTTCCCTATGGCATCAACAGATAATATACGCACACTGGAAATGATACCTTTCACAAAGTCGTAATAACTAAAAACGAGACAAAAGTGTGACATGGATTCTGTTACGGTTTAAATCAGTGACCAACCAATAATAATAATAATAATAATAATAATGAGTGAATTTGTAACGCGCCAATCTCACGCCAGCTGGTATGCTCATGGCGCTACAAGTAAAGTTATTTCTTGCTTTTGTTTTAAGTTTTACGTTGTTTGTGATAGTATATGCCGTATGTATTCATTTCTTATTCCAGTAAAGACAAGTGTCACGGATGTTCAAGATTTGCATCAGCCTTTCCATCAGATATCGCTACCTTCTACAGGCAAAACTCTTGGGTGGACTGTGACCACGAGTACGAGCGTATAAGCTTACAGGACAGGTCCCGGGAGAAAGACACTGTATGCAGCAGTCTACAACCGCATCATGAGGCGCGTCCGGGTGGGGAGAAAGGAGAAGACTATATAGATCCCCGAGCTTCATCATCAACAGAACATGTCGTAGATGATGTTAGGATATCCAGGTTATCCCATCTTCTGAGAACATCGTTCTGGAGTAAAACCAACTCTGAGGAGGTTTTAGAATCTGACCACATACCAACATGTGGAAGCAGCGGGCAAAGGAGAACTCGAAGCTGCCGCAAGGTGAAGTCAACTGATATTTGTTCGAATACTCTCACTGCGGGGCATTTCATACCAGACTCGGGGGAGATTCGTGCACGGGGACTACCATCCGGAACAGCAGAAACAATGCCGGATGTCACAGACAGCATGGTTGACATTTTTCAAGAAATCTTCAATCCTTCCAACAACACTCTTAGAAGCCTGCTTCTCAGAACAATTCACCCCGCAACTGAAAAAAATAAAAGTCTATCCAAACGTCTCTCTAAGTCTGAGACAGATGTCACCATTGCCAAAACATTCAGATCGTTCGGCAATACAGACTACGATCCCTCTACAGACCCACAAATACAAAGTGGCGATGATGACCATTATGTCGCTGTCTCCGATATCAGAGTAACGCCTATACCAAAACGACGAAAATCATTGTCCCGGAAGAAACACATCCTTGATGATAAGCAAACGGAAAACGAGTCTGAGCTCAGAAAATTGCCCGGCAGAAGTTTAATTAAATATATTACAATCCCCATGTTCGAGGAAAGAAGAGAAGCAAGTATGCCTGTTCCGAGATCCAAACCCATGAGCCCCAGGCAGTGTCAACCAAGCAGCATCTTCAAGACTTCCTCTGACAAGAAAGGAGGTGGTGAATCTCCCACAAATCGTATGATAGAGGAACACGTACAAGCACCTGCGATGCATCTTGACACCTATGAAAATGAAATCCTAAGTGGAGTAGGCAGTCAAGAGAATCCGCAAAGCTTTCATGGATCCTTCAGGCGGAGTGTGCAAAAAGCAAGAAATGCTACATGTCTAGACGGACAAGCAAAAACAGGAAAAGAATATTCGAACGTAAGGATGGTCGTGAAGAATTTGTCATGCTCAATCGAAAACATTTGAATGGATTCAGAATTGTTGAACACTTGAATTGATGAATAATGATTTTTTATACGAAAAATATTATTAGTTCACATATATATGGTCTCCTTGTTGAGTAGAATATGACCTTCGTGTCCATTGCCAAACCTTTTGTAGAACACATGGTGTCATCACGGATGTTTACTGATGCACTCGCATAATATTCACCACGTTAGGCCGTATCAAATCTGTTGGGACAGAAAAGTGAGACTGGCTATTTCTGGGAGGTATCGTATCTATATCACCCATATGGGAAGGAGGACACAGGGTAGTATTGTAGTCCTTAGGTAGATTACACCTTTCGGAGAACGGTGATTGGCTGATTATAGCCAATGAAGTGAAGCCGCATCATAAGCGTAGGGATTTGGGTATTCCTTACATCACAGGTTTCCTCATAGAGAAACTGGTGTTTTCATTTTAGCGGGTTTTTTTATCGAAGACTGATACGTGTAATAAAAACAATAACCACCTCGTGACGGGGAATGACAGATGATCTTTCCCTCGTTATATTAATTTTGTAGTATTAGTTATTGTCTAAATATTTGTAAAGGACGATCCATGAGGAACGTGCGGTCGTGCTATTTATGTTTGTTTATTTCTTGTTTAACGCTGCACTCAGCAATATTCCAGCTATATGACGGCGGTTTGTAAATATTCGAGTCTGGACCAGACAATCCAGTGATCAACAGGATGAACATCGATCAACACAAATGGGATACAATGACATGTGTCAAAATAGTCAGCGAGCCTGACCAGACGTTCCCGTTAGTCGCCTCTCACGACAAGCATGGGTTACTGAAGATCAGTTCTAACCCGGATTTTTTAAAGTATTATTCATAGTAGGAATAGTAGTATGATATAGTAGGAATAATATATTGACTCTTATTTTGGAAGATATTTCGTATACTTTGTACTGAATGTTTCAAGATACGTAGACAATAGTCGATAAGCCAAACTCATGATTGATAACATGAAAGACGACACAAGCCACCAGGTTACGACAAAAACGGCAACTCGCAATTTATATCAGCATAGGCATTGTATACCAAGGTACACAGACCGATGCTCATGATGTCAAAAAGTGGATTGTCTGGTCCAGGCGCGTTCATTTACAGTATGACGTCATAAAGCTGGACTATTCTGAGGCAGGCGTTAAACAATAAACAAACATACCAGGGAACAGTGTTCGGTTTATGATCGGTTTCCAAAGGGGCGATAAGGTAACCAACTGGTGGAAGCGTTGGCTCTTCACCCAGAAAGCCGGAGTTCGATTCCGGACATTGCTACAGTGTGTGAAGCCCAATTATGGTTTCCCTTGCTGGGATATTACCAAAAGCGGCGTAAAGCCATGTTCACTTATCTTTACTTGAAAATATGTATTAGACCTGAGAAAATGAACATAACTCTTCTTAACCTGCATGTATCTCTCCTTTCGCAGTATATACCAGCAAAATGTTTACTGTCAATTTTTTCAAGCTCACGTGCTTGACATTTCTTGTCGTTTTGTTTCGGTCTCTGTTGACCTGTTCAATTACTTCCTGGTACGCAAGTCGATGTTTCTATATTCAGTAAGCATAGAGTACACAGCAGTCACGAACGGAATGTGTTTATTATTATTTCCCTGTAATGACCGAGGGACATACTGCGACTCCAACCTGAACAAGGAAGTAATTGTTTTAGTCGTATGTGTCAACTCTCTTGTACACTTGCGAGGCTTGTTTGTTTTTGCGTAGCATACTTTCAAATATTTTCCCTGTGATGTTAAGTTGACTCAATTCATGCTTGTGCATAAAACATAGGGTCACAATGTCATCAACGTAGAAGATACTTTCATGTACGTACATGTAGGTTATACTTGCTGCGTCCACGAACATGGTACCAACGTCTACACAGAATACACTTTCATCCACGTAGATAATACTTTCATGTACGTAGATGATACATCTGCGTAGATGATACTTTTATGTATGTAGATGATACATCCACGTAGATGATACTTACATCCAGATACTTTCATGTACGTAGATGATACTTTTGTCCACGTAGATGATACCTATAGCCATGTAGATAATACTTTCATGTACGTAGATGATATATCCATGTAGATAATACTTCCATGAACGTAGATGATATATCCACGTAGATAATACTTTCATGTACGTAGATGATATACCCACGTAGATAATACTTTCATGTACGTAGATGATATATCCATGTAGATAATACTTTCATGTACGTAGATGATATATCCACGTAGATAATACTTTCATGTACGTAGATGATATACCCATGTAGATAATACTTTCATGTACGTAGATGATATATCCATGTAGATAATACTTTCATGTACGTGAATGATATATCCATGTAGGTAATACTTTCATGTACGTAGATGATATACCCATGTAGATAATACTTTCATGTACGTAGATGATATATCCATGTAGATAATACTTCCATGTACGTAGATGATATACCCATGTAGATAATACTTTCATGTACGTAGATGATATATCCATGTAGATAATACTTTCATGTACGTAGATGATATATCCATGTAGATAATACTTTCATGTACGTAGATGATATATCCACGTAGATAATACTTTCATGTACGTAGATGATATACCCACGTAGATAATACTTTCATGTACGTAGATGATATACCCACGTAGATAATACTTTCATGTACGTAGATGATATATCCATGTAGATTATACTTTCATGTACGTAGATGATATATCCATGTAGATAATACTTTCATGTACGTAGATGATATACCCATGTAGATAATACTTTCATGTACGTAGATCATATACCCATGTAGATGATACTTTCATGTACGTAGATGATATATCCATGTAGATAATACTTTCATGTACGTAGATGATATACCCATGTAGATAATACTTTCATGTACGTAGATGATATATCCATGTAGATGATACTTTCATGTACGTAGATGATATATCCATGTAGGTAATACTTTCATCTACGTAGATGATATACCCATGTAGATAATACTTTCATGTACGTAGATGATATATCCATGTAGATGATACTTTCATGTACGTAGATGATATATCCATGTAGGTAATACTTTCATCTACGTAGATGATATACCCATGTAGATAATACTTTCATGTACGTAGATGATATATCCATGTGGATAATACTTTCATGTACGTAGATGATATACCCATGTAGGTAATACTTTCATCTACGTAGATGATATACCCATGTAGATGATACTTTCATGTACGTAGATGATATATCCATGTGGATAATACCTTCAAGTACTTAGATGATACATCCATGTAGATAATACTTTCATGTACGTAGATGATATACCCATGTAGGTAATACTTTCATCTACGTAGATGATATACCCATGTAGATGATACTTTCATGTACGTAGATGATATATCCATGTAGATAATACTTTCAAGTACTTAGATGATATATCCAAATGGATAATACTTTCATCTACGTAGATGATATACCCATGTTGATGATACTTTCATGTACGTAGATGAAAATATTATATCCATGTAGATAATACTTTTATGAACGTAGATGATATATCCATGTAGGTAATACTTTCATGTACGTAGATGATATATCCATGTAGATAATACTTTTATGTATGTAAATGATATATCCACACAGATAATATTTACATCCACGTTGATAACACTTTCATCCACGTTAATGATACTTACATCTACACTGAAGAAACTTTCATCTACAGTAGTAGTAGTTATTTGCTTTATCTAACGTCGCACGCACAACTAAGGTATTTCGGCGACGGGGTAGTACACTTATTAAGAAATGAGGGGGAACAAAATATAGAAATTTTGAAAGAGTGGTGTTACTACCCCAAAAAGATTGTATTAGTGTTTGTTGAATTTGGTAGAGTGGATAATGTTTTCCTATTCATTGCAAGTTATAATTGAATTTATCTATTATTGTGTTGTTAACTTTATTTGTTAGGTCTGTTTTGGAGTTAGGTATTTCTATTTTGTTTGGCAGCTTGTTCTGCCATTTCGTTGCCATGGGCTCCGATATGTGACGAGACCCAGATAAAATGTACTTGATTATTTTTATTTTGGTGGTATAGTATTCTTCTGTATATGTTATTGATTAGATCTAGTCTTTTTGTTGTAGAGTAATTTTTGAGAGCTTGTATGGAGCTTAAGGAATCCGTTAAAAAATGCAGATGGTAGTGCTTGTTTGTTTGCAAATCCTGAACTATGGCTGCGAGTTCTTCTGTGAAGATACTGGAGTTTGCTGGGAGATTATAGGATTGTTTCTGGCTTTTTTTGGATTTGTAGATACCAAAACCAGTATTATCATTTTGGTCCTTGGATCCGTCAGTATAGATGTAAAGATTATCTTGTGGATTGTAATTTTGTTGTATGAATTCTTGCACTGTGAATTTATTAAGTATATAGTTTTCAGTAAGTTTTGTGTTGGCCAATATTTTTGGCAGTAATGCTGGAGGAAGAGATTTGTAATATGGGTTTGTATTATATTCTGTTGTATATAAATCAAGTTGTTGTTTCATTTCCTGTATTTTTTGTCCAAAAGGTTTTGGGTATTTGCCTTTATTGATAATGATTTTATTTTTATTTTTAAGAGATGTATAGTAGTTTTCAGTTTTGTTTGTAATGGGGTTGTTAAGGGATCAGTTACATATTTCATTGTACATCTTTCCCATTGGAGAGTGAGGTCTAGTTCCCCGCATTCTACCAATAATGCTTGGAGGGATGTACCTGGGAAGGCCCCAGTTTTACATTTAAGTGCTTGGAATTGAATGAAACTGAGTTTGTTTATATGTGTTTGTGCCATATCTTGAAATATTTCGCAGCCATAGACTAATTGAGATTTGATGAGTGATTTATATAGTAATAGTAATGTTTGTTTGTTGCTAACCTATTTACTTTGTGATGAGTATTTAATAATGTTGAGCTCTGACTTGCATTATTCTTGTATGAATTGAATGTGTTTGTTCCATGTTAAGTGCTGGTCAAGGATTAGACCTAGAAATTTTACTGTATCTGATTGCTGTAACTTTTGTTTGTTAATATAAAGATGTACATTTTGTTTTCTTCGATGTTGTGCTTTGAATACTACAGTTGTTGTTTTAGTGGTAGAGAGTTGGAACCTTCATTGGTTGGCCCAGTTTTCAATATGGTTAAGTGTAGCTTGAATTTGTTTTTGTGTATATTTTTTCATTTTTCATTAACCCATATTGCTCCATCGTCGGGAAACTGGGATTTGTTTATGTTTTCACTGAGTTTGTTGAATATATCATCAACCATAACATTGAAGAGAGTGGGTGAGATGATACTTCCCTAGAGTGTGCCATTTTCTAGTGTACATTAAACGCCAAAAGAAACGTTACCCCCCTTCCTGAATGACGTAGCTACCTATCTTCAACTGGTGTTGTGATGCGTGGACGTCCTCTTCTTGGTCTGTCTACGGGGACCCCAGTCTGTCTGAAGCCCTGACTCAGTTTTATATAACCGTGATACGACCCCGCCTGCGCCATTACAATGGCTCGTTTTCTCTCTTCAGCTGTTAATCGGGGCACAGTTCTCTTACTTGTGTATAATATCATGCATTCTAGGCTCTCTTTATAACCTATA